CCCCCCCGTTCCTTCCCGCGTGTTTCCCGTCCCTTACACAACAGGTCCATTTCCCCTCCCTCCCGGAGGAGGCTCCTTCCCCAGCTCATCGGGAGCATCATCAAACAACATTTTTCTTTTTTTTTTCTCGCTCGCTCCTTCTGTTTACGTTTTCTTCTTCTTTTCTTTCTCTTTTTGTTTCTTCACTGAACTCTTTCTACTCTATCTATCCTAGTTAAACCGAACATTAATAAAAGATATATCCAGAGGATAATAACCTCGTTTCTGCCCAATTCCTCTTTCGGCCTCCCCCCCCCCCCTTGTAATACGACGTAATACCTAACCCCATCGCGCCTGCAGCAACTCTTTCTTTCCTTTTTTTTTCTCCAGGCTTTTCGGACAGTAAGAGCATGGCACATAGCATCGCTCCTTATTAAGACCACCCATTACTCGAGAAGAAGAAAGGAAGAAGACACAGGAGAAGAAACGATTATAGCCTTCAAATTTTCCCTTTCATATCTTTTTCATCAGCCCCGCCGCCACCGATATTACTTACAGATAGTTTGATCCATAACGCATAATTGCTTTGGCCCCCCTTCTCTTTTTTTCTTAAAGAAGGAGAGAGAGAGAGAGAGAGAGAGAGAGGAGGCATCTCGATCGCTCCCTTGTCCTCCGATCTCACACAGATCCCGGGAACTGATCCCTGACACGGCAACTGGCTTTTCGCCCCATCCCACCACATCCACCACCACACCCTCCAACCTTTGAGTGCCCTGGCAATTGGCCCGAGAGCCCTCCATCCCCCGTCACCCCTGCTTCGGGCAGTGCACTACGCCTAGAGGATTCTTGCCGACTCGTACAGGACAAATCGAGGTTGTGTCTCTGTCTGACTTACTACTACCAAGCTCCTTCGCCCCCTTCCCCCCCCCAAAAAAAAAAGAGGCACCAACACGGGCCGCCCTCCACGTCGGTCCCCTCCCCTCTTACTCACCTTGCCTCCCACCACCCCCAGTTCTCTGGGCTACCGTCGTAATACATTTCGGGTTGAGCTTTTCATATTTTCTTTTCATAATTCCATTTCTGTGCTCCTCTTTTTTTCTTGCCCTTTGACCGAGAGTGAGGAGGAGGCACAGATAGAGTGAGCCCTGAAGTTCTCTGGGTGCCCGCCTTGATGCAGTCACATAATATTACCAACTGCCCCTCTACTAATTTGAATACACCATCACCACCACCATCACAGTTGCAGACTGTCACTATCTCTCACTTTGCTGACCACACCTTTCCCACCTCATCGTTGCCATCCTCAACACAAGAAGCAGCACTACCGCCTTTACCAACTTTCAACCACGCCGATTCCTTTCACGCCCAAGGTCACCCCGCAGCTCAGTCGGGTCCGTCCTCCATCTGGGTACCATGCCCATCTAGAAGCGACCTCAATGGCCGCCACGGTCACTTTCACCCTCACTCTTCATCGAAACCGAGTGGGCGCCCGGTCAAGAGGCCCCCGTCCCTGGACATCCACATGCCAACATTATCCGATGCCATGACCAACCATCTGCAGGCAAAGAAGCAACGGATCAGGGCCGAGCCGTCATCCGTCGCTGAGATACCCACAATCGTCGCGCCAGGTCTCGATGGCTCCGATGTCAGCCCTTCGCTTGTCGAGGACCTCCCGTCGCCGCTGTTCTTCTCCCACACTCCCCGCGACAAGGAGCCGTCTCACTCTCAGACTTTTCGCTCCCCGGACATCGCCACCTCCATGCTCTCCCGCATGGATCACAGCATATCCGGAGCCCTCACCACTGTCAAGCTACCCCAGCCCGCCATCGCCTCCGCCACCACCACCGCTGCCTCCTCCAACGTCCCCCCCGTCGCCGCACCTGTCAGCACCCCCGAGAGCTTGACCTCGTCCACCGACCTGTCAGCTCCTGCTCTCACACCCGATTCACGATCCTCCACCTTCGGCCTGCAGGCTCTCACTGGCTTTGATGTCCTTGAGCTCCTCGACCACGATGCCCGCCCCACCTTCCTCATAGACCTGGCCGAGCCCACTATTTCCGGTAACCCCCACCTCCATATTCTCTTCTACAACTCGGCCCTCCGCGCATCCTCTAGTGCCCTTCGTCTGCTCACCTCGGACCGTGCTGAGCCCTTGGCCGCCGACGACTACAGGGCCTTCAAAGACTGGGTCACGACGGACGCTAAAGCGATCCCCCATCACCCCTCACCCCTGCCGTACAGGTACGGTTCCTTTACCTGGACGTGCCGAACCCTTCGGAAGCGATTTCGCGTCATAAGCGGAAATCCTGACCCTGTCCTGGACCACGACGAAGCTGCCGCCAACGCTGTCCTGGCCGCCGCCGAGGCGGCGGTGGAGCACCCTGTCCCGGCATTGACACGCCGAGATGAGGCAACTTCACCCGACTTCCTCATAAGCCCCGGTGCCACAGCCGCTGCTGATGATGAGCCCCCGGACTATTTCGGTGACGCACAATCCGAGCTTCTTCGCCGGGCTTCAACCACGACCGCCGATACGGACACACGCCTCTATACAACGTCCTTGCCAGCCTGGGAGCACCCCGACGAGTTCACAAACACGGTTCTGCGGGCCCAGCCCACCAAGACATCGTTTGACTGGACCAGGGTGCCCTTTTCCGATGAACTTCCCAGCCACATCAAGACGCTCCAGTCATTTGACTGGTCCTCGACGCCTCTGGGTCCCATCGAGGACTGGCCTCCCGCATTGAGATTGTTATCCAACCTGGTCATGGCCACACCAAACCCCTGCGCCATGGCCTGGGGTCCCGACTTCACGGTCATATACAACGCCAGCTACGTCGACATTGCCGGCCAAAAGCATCCTGCACTCATAGGCAGCCGGTACTCTAACGGATGGGCCGAGATCTGGCCCCAGGTCGAGCCCCTCTTCCAGGCCGCCTGGACGTCGGGCCAGGCCGTCATGAAGCACGATGTTCAGTACTTTGTCCGCCGCAACGGCTATCTTGAGGAGGCATTCTTCTCCTACTCCGTCATTCCTGTTCTTGGTGAAGACGGCGAGGTCGTGGCCATCTACAACCCTTCATTCGAGAATACGAGGCGCAAGGTGACTGAGAGGAGATTGTTCACTCTGCGCGACATTGGTGAGCGCACCGCTTCGGCCACGACGGTCAAGGGATTCTGGCCGCAGGTGAAGAAAGGGCTAGAGTACAATCAGTATGATGTGCCGTTTGTCCTGGTATACTCTGTAGACCACCCCGAGCTGGAGGATACGGCCCAGCTTATCCTGGAAGGGTCTATTGGCGCCCCGGAAAACCACCAGGCTGCCGTGCAGACATTGGACCTGAAGACCTCCGAAGAGGGCTTTGCTCCATATATGCGTCAATCCATGACCAATGGAGGGAGCGTCGTCGTCCTGTCCGAGGACGACGGCACCATGCCACACCACTTAACAACCGGTCTCGACTGGCAGGGCTTCAAGGAGCCCTGCCGTACCATTGTTGTGCTCCCCGTCGTACCCAACACGGCAAACGAGTCGGCCGCTGGATTCATAGTCATGGGTGTCAATCCGAGACGACCCTACGACGAAGACTATCGGCTCTTCATAAACCTCCTCGAGAGGCAGCTTGCTACGTCCATGGCATCGGCAGCTCTGTTCGAGAAGGAGATTGTGCGAGGCAGGAAAGCGGCGCAGCTCGCGGCCATCGACCGGCAACGTCTCCTGACAGAGCTGCAACGCAAGTCGCAAGAAGCCAACGAGACCGAGTACAAACTTGACCGCATGGCCGAGTTTGCACCGGTGGGCATGTTCATCGCTGACGCACATGGGCACATCAACTTTTGCAATGACAGGCTGATGCAGTTCTCGGGTCTGCAGCGCGCCGAGGACACTGCTAACGCGTGGATGGACAATGTTCGGCCCGAGGACAGGACCGCCCTGGAGAGTTCTTGGGCGAAGCTGCTGACGGAAAGGGTCACGATATCGGTCGAGTTCCGCTTCATGCACAGCCAGCGCAACGGCGATGCCATGATTGACACATGGGCCCTCATGAGCGCCTACCCCGAGATGGGGCCTGATGGAAGTCTCAACGCCATCTTCGGCTGCATCACCGACATCTCGTCGCAGAAGCTAGCCGAGAAGGTGCAGAACGAGCGCCGCGAGGAGGCCGTCGAGCTCAAGAGGCAACAGGAAAATTTCATCGACATAACGAGCCACGAGATGAGGAACCCGCTGTCGGCCGTCCTGCAGTGCTCCGACCAGATCATGGACAGCATAATCTCGTTCAAGTCTCACGACGATGAGGAGGCTGTGCGCGCGCTGCTTGATAGCTGCCTCGACGCCGCCAACACCATCAGCCTCTGCTCGACTCACCAGAAGCGCATCGTCGACGACGTACTCACGCTGTCCAAACTCGACTCAAACCTGCTAGGAATAAGCCCCATAGACGAGCAGCCTGTCCGCGTCATCGAGATGGCCCTCAAGCTGTTCGAGTCGGAACTCGCAGAGCAGAATATCGACTTTGAGCTGATTGTCGATAAGAGCTTCGAGGAGCTCGGCGTGAAATGGGCCAAGATTGATCCGCCGCGGCTCCGGCAAATACTCATCAACCTCATGACCAATGCCATCAAGTTTACGCAGACACAGGAGAACAGGGCCATCAAGGTGCGCCTCGGCGTCTGCAAGGGCGATTCAATCCCCGTCGAGGATGAGGTGCACTACTTTGATCGAGACCACAACAAGCCGGGTTCCGCCGCTGCCGGCGTTGACAGCGACGATATTGACTGGGGCGAGGGGGAGAAGATTATAATACATTGCTCCGTGGAGGACACTGGTCCCGGCATCATCAAGGAGGAGCTGGAGTTGCTCTTCAAGCGTTTCCAGAAGGCGACACCGAGAACCCACGTCCAGTACGGAGGATCGGGGCTGGGCTTGTTTATATCGCGGATTTTGACGGAGATTCAGGGCGGTCAGATCGGTCTGTCGAACAAGCCGGGCGGGGGGAGCAAGGTCAGCTTCTACATCCAGAGCCGTGTGAGCGTCAACCCACCGGCCAACATCGAGCCGGACATGACCCTGGGCTCTCTCGTCGGACGTAAGATTTTGCCACCAGCTACTCAGCCTCAACAGCAGCAGGAGGAAGATGAGCAGTCGGTGGAAGGTTGGTCAGAGCCCCAGCCAGAGCCTCAGCCAGAGCCTCAGCCAGAGCCCCAGCCGGAACAGAATGCAGCAGCAGCACCGATCGCACCGATAGCACAGGCGACGCAAGAGACCAGTTCGATAACGTTAGCCAAGACGGGACCGGAGATCAAGACCAGCAACAGCATATTCGATGTGCTGATTGTCGAGGACAACATCGTCAACCAGCGGGTGCTCCAGCGACAGCTGACCAACTGCGGCAACACGACGTTCGTGGCCAACCATGGCATGGAGGCGCTGCAGACGCTGGAGCGGTCGCGGTTCTGGGCGGGCCAGGAGTCTGGTGGCATCGACATCTCCGTGATCTTGATGGACTTAGAGATGCCCGTCATGGACGGCATGACGTGCGCTCGGCGGATCCGAGAGCTGCAGAGCGAGGGGGTGATTGTGCAGCACATACCGATCATTGCGGTGACGGCGTATTCGCGGCCTGAGCAGATAGAGAGTGCCAAAGCTGCGGGGATTGTAAGTCTTTTGTCTTCTTTGTCTTCTACTGGTACTACAAGGTACTCTTAGCTCATGGTGGTGGCCTGCTAACGTTTCTTCTCTTTTTTCTGACATACAGGACGACGTCATCTCCAAACCCTTCCATATCCCCGATCTTATACCTAGGATTGAAGAGTTGGTGGGCAAGTACAAGGTTGTTTGAAGCAATCCTGGTCTTGATCCTCTTCCCCTCTTCCACTAGTCCTCACACATCCCACTTACCTCCTTCCCATCAACCTCCCCTCTTCCCTACTACTCCACCCCGATTACGTTATAACGACTGCTTAAAGCAGATCTGTATTATCTTTTACATCTCGACAACCCCTCCCCCCCATCCCCTTACTCTTCTTACACCTTTATACACAGCTTTACAGCTTTACACTTTTAAACGTCTTCTGTCTCTACATTGTACGACCTTTTTTTTTTGTCTCTTCAATTATATCAAAGAGCAAACATACGGGGTTTCTGGATAGCTAGTTTCTCTTTCATGTGTTTAATGCATTTCCGTTGGGTTCTTTTTCTTTCCCCACCTTCTTTGAAAGAAACAAGATTCCAGCTGCCTTTTTTTCTTTCATTTCTATCATTTCTATCATAACGGACACTATAATATTTTATACTATGTCTGGTTAGAAACGGACAACCGACTAGATCTATACAGTGTCGGGTATCAATGCAATTCGCTGCCTTATTGAACTGTATATTCCATAATTTACTCTGCTTCCGACCATGTTTCAATACCATGTCTACTACTGCCAAGTAGTTCATATTGGCATGGCACTACACATGTAATACAACATAAAATGGCATCACAATATTCACCAGGCAAACCACAATAGCGACTAATCACGAAACAAAATATTGTATTAAGTATTAAGAATCGTCCTTCTTCTCCCTCCTCCGGGTATCAGACATTCAAAAAAACCAAACGAGCGGACGGGAAACAAATGAGACAGAGCGAAGTCTAGTCAATCGAGTGAAGATGTAGAAAACAAATCCAAAACTCAAATGCGAACTTAGACGGGAAAGCTCGGGGTGGGACTTTGAAAAATGTAAGGGAAGGTGGTATCAGAGGTTGTGTTTTTTTCTTCCAAAAAAAGTATTCTGAGACAGGGTATCTTGGTATCATGTGAAGAGACGCGGTGAGGTGCATGTTAAATCTTCCATTTTAACATTGTTCACTTATTATTTCAAAGAAATAATGGAAAACACCGCGCGCACGTTCCGTTACCTAAAAAGGCCTCTTACTGTCCCGACATCTAAGCGGCAGCAGTGACGGCGGGGGTGGTGGCGGCCACATTCTCGGGCTTGGACTCCGGCTCCTCGGTCTTGGCGGCCTCCTCGACGGGTTTGGCCTCGTCGGTAGCGGCCTCCTCCTTGGGAGCCTCGGTCTCATCCTTGGTGGCCTCCTCGGCGGGCTTGGCCTCCTCAGTGGCGGTGGTGGACTTGGGGGAGGACTTGGCCTTGATGGTGGCGCGGATCTTGGAGAAAGCGTTCTCCTTCTTCTCACCCTCAGCGGGGGCGGGCGACTTCTCACGCTTGCCTCCGAAACCGAAGGGGAGAGAAGACTTGCGCTTCTCCTTCTTGGCCTCGGTCGTCTCCTCGGCGGGGGCAGCAGCCTCCTCCTTGGGGGTCTCCTCAGCGGGCTTGGCCTCCTCGGAAGTCTTGGCCTCCTCGGCGGCGGGGGTGGCGGCGGCAGCCTCCTCGGCCGGCTTGTCAGCCTCGGCCTCCTCCTTGGGAGGCTCCTCCTTGGAGGACTCGGCGGCCTTCTTCTCCTTCTTGGAGAGGATGTTGCCGAAGAAGCTGTTGCGCTTGTTAGGCTTGGCCTCAGGGGTCTTGGCTTCGGGGGTCTTGGCCTCCTCGGCGGCGGCGGGCGCGGCCGCCTCCTCAGCAGGCTTGGCCTCACCCTCGTCAGCGGGCTTAGCGGCCTCTTCGGTGGGAGCGGCGGTCTCCTCCTTGGGGGCCTCCTCCTTAGGGGTCTCCTCAGTCTTGGGAGACTCGGGGGCCTTGGAGTCCTTCTTGTTGATGAAGCCGAAGATGGAGGCACGCTTGGCCTTCTTGGTCTCCTTGGGGGCCTCCTCGACCTTGGGAGTCTCCTCGGCGGGCTTGTCAGCCTCCTCGGCAGGCTTAGCCTCCTCGGCAGCAGGGGCAGCGGCCTCCTCAGTGGCAGGGGCGGCGGCGGCACCCTCCTCGGCAGGCTTGGCCTCCTCAGCGGGCTTCTCCTCCTTCTTGGCAGCGACAGCGGGCTTGAAGCTCTCGAGAGTCTTCTTGTAGTTCTCGGACTCGGTGACGGTGGCGGAGAGCTCCTTGGCCTCGGCGATCTTGGCCTTGATCTGAGCAACCCAGTTGTCACGCTCAGCGACATTGGCGGCCTTGAACGAGTGCTTGTTACCCTTGGAGGTCAGGGTGAACTTAAGGGCACCCTCAGTCTCGGGCTCAGTGGCGTCGGCCTAGTATTCAAGACATGTTAGATGTACTGTCATGTGACTAATGCGTTTTGAGTCGCGGTGCTACTCACGAGAGCAATGATGCCGGTGGGGGCCTTCTTGTCACCGGCGAACAGGAGACCCTTGCCAGTCTCGGTAGCCCAGGCGACGTTGGCCTTCTGGGTAGCGCTGGCGCTGGACTTCTCATGGTAGGCGGAGAGAGCCTTGGCCTCGTAGGCCTCAGTGCCGAAGAAGAAGAACTCCTTGCTGGGGATCAGGTTCCTGAAAAAGCGAAAGGCGGTTAGCACACCGCGTCTCTTCTCGGCTGCGAGTCGCGCCTTGTGTCTCTGGTCTGTCTTGTGATCAAACTCACTTGGGGAAGCTAAGACCTTGGGCCTTGTGGCCGAGGTAACCCTCCTCGATGGGCTTGGTCTCCTCCTCCTTCTCCTCCTTGGCAGCCTCCTCAGCGGGCTTGTCCTCCTCCTTGACAGTCTCCTCGGCGTTCTGGGCCTCCTCAGCGGGCTTCTCCTCAGTGGCGGCGGCGGCGGTCTCCTCCTTGGGGGTCTCAACGGCGGGAGCAGCCTCCTCAACCTTGGGGACCTCGACGTTCTTCTGTTCCTCGGACATTTTGGATTTTGTTGGTGAGTTTAGTTGCAGGATCAAAGATTAGGTAGGGAGGGTTGTAATAGTCGTGGGGTGGGGGGGTTGGGTATCAAATGGGGTATCACAACAGAAAAAAGTAGCAAAAGGGTATTAAAGAATTAAAGGAAACGGAACCGGAAAATGGCCGTGAGAAGATGGTATATCAAGGTGGTACTTGGAGTGTGGGAAGGAGGAAGAGTAGGAGCCGAAAGAAGGGGACGGCAGATTGGATATTTATTATGGCGTCTGTCTGGTCGGGAAAAAGGAGCTGGTAGAGGGGGGGGAGGGCTCAGAGCGTTCTGTTAGTGGGACACTTATCCACCCAGGGCAACGATTCTGGAGTCAAGGATAGACAGAGGGGAGAGGGTCCGGAGAGAGCAACAGCCAGCCAGCAAGCGAGCAGACGAGGGAGATGGGAGATGGGAGATGGGGAGGGGGGGGTGAAAGAGCTGGTGGTGAGAGGGGGTTGGATTATCGCAAGTAGATTATCAGGAGAGGGGGCGTGTATCTGCGCATGCTGTACTCGTACATGTATCAATATCGTATGTACTCGTAGCTGTATGTGTGTGTGCGTGTGTGAGTGCCTTGTCTTTGTACGAGCTCTCGTATGAGCCATGTACTTGTACTCGACCCTCCTTACAGGGTCGTTTACTGGCGAGAAGCCTTGTCAGGGCAGTTTGATGAGTCTGGGCCAGGGAAGGGCGAGGGAGGATCCCGGAGCCCCTCCTTCTATTACTGATAATTAATGGAAAAGGGATGCGTAATACGAGTATGTACGAGTACATGTAACTCTCCGGTGTGGTCAGTATTTGTCGTTATTTCACGGAGAGAAGCTTTTGGTATTACTGGACGTTGAAGTTCAGATGCCTACTCTTACGTGTTATTATATATTCAGATAATGGGAGGTGATGAAGCAGAGTAGGGAGTGATACTCCTTAGTAACGGTTGAGATGGCTATCCACCAGTTGTGGGATGCTATCATACGATGGAAGTAGCCATGTCGTCATCCCGTAATGTAATAAACAATAGTTGGACGGAGCTAATGAGCAGCTGCTGCCTTAGCAGCACTGGTTTTGTTTTGTTGTAGTCACGAGTATTGATAGGGGAGTTTGTAGAGGGACAGAGTGGGAAGAAGACAAGAGAAGGCAAGAGAATACGGGTGAAGAGCCTTTCCCCCCCCCCTCTTGTTCTTCTCTCGTCTTCTTGTTGCTTCTTTCTTGATGGTTGTGCTACAGTGGCATGTGACGGGCAGGCGCCAGGCAGGTGGCAGGTGATGGGGCTGACTGACTGGCACCTGCCGCAAATAGCAGCAGCAGCAGCAGCATTAGCCGCTGGATTCTTCTTTTCTTCCGCTCTCTCTCTCTCTCTCTCTCTCTTCACCTAATACAGACCTGCCTACTACGAGCACAGGTTAATTACAACCAAAGAATAGAGTATCCTTATACTACGAGCATGTGAGTATTATGATGGATAGCGTCTATGGGTACCTTCTATGAGCAGCTTAGATCCGTAATGGACCCCGTAATGGACCGTTTAGTGCCATGGACCATGGACACAGTTTAAATTGTCAAATTAGTGTACCGAGCGGTACGTCGTAATAGTACCACTCTAGGCAAGAGAGTGGGCCTTGCCTCTGGACAGTAAAATTGGGCGGTCCCAAGGCTCCAGGGCTACAGGGATCCATTCCAGGGGCTAGAGCCTTGGTGACAGAAATGTGTGGGCAGTCCCTGTACACAAGACGTACATGTAATCTGTAATCTGTACATGCACGAGTATTACCGTAGTATTATTTCTGATTATTATCTGCAATACGGTTGTGATTTCAGTCTTCTTTCCCACGTTATTATTATTACTTTCTTTTCGTGGATTTCCAGTACTCGAATCCTATCGACATATCGACATCTCATATTGCCAATACTATATAATAGTATCAATACTCCTGCTTCTCACAAACTACTCTCCCTGATAAAGAATCTCCATCCACCAACACCCCCCTCCCCCCCTCCCCCTGCATTCTGTCGTGACATATGCGCATAACTTTCTTCCCTTTTCCTTTTTGTCACCACTCGCCCTTTTTCTCAGGGTTCACTGACCCACCACCGACAATTGGATCGCGTTTTAGCGCCCTTTGGCCTGCAAACCAACGACCAACGGCTGTCCATGCCACATGTTGATTGACCTTTTCTTCCTCTCTTTTGTCGCCTCGTTATTAGTCCACGTATTATTGCTACAGTACTATTACGCCGCATTACTACCCTCTACCTCCTGTCAGTCTGTATATATATCAGCAGCTCTCCGCGACGCTCTCTCTCACACTCTTCCGCCCACGGGGGTAGCGTTACGAAGGATAGGAAAATTGCCGTGCATCGTGGCTGGAATTTGGCAGTTGAGGCTAGAGTTCAGTTGCTGAGCGTCACCCGAGCCGCTTCTTTTCTTACTACATATACCACCACCACTTGTACTATGAAGGGAGAAGGAAGAGAAAAGACCAGGGGTCCGAAACTTCATGTACACTTCCTCGATACCCTGACTAATCTCACCACTCACACCGCTCTCTACCTGTTTCTTTCCTTCGCTCCTTCTCTTTCTTGGACTCTCAAACTCCTTGGCCAAGTATCATCTTCCCCTCCCCAGCATATAGTACGGGTACGCGTCCATCGTCATCAGATATTCTCTTTTCGTCATCTTCCCCTGTTTTTTTCTTCTTCTTTGCCTCCATTACTCCATTCTCCTTGAGAATCTAACAAACAAGCTCTCTTTGCATGAGACCGTGGGTCAGTGGGGGTGGTTGGTGTGTACGAGTGGGTGGCCCGTGTAAAAAAGGAGCAAGAAATAAACAGATCACATCCTCCTTGTTCCCAAGTACCGACATGCTTTGTCTGGTCAGCGCACAATAGTGGAGTAGGCCATCTACCTGGTCCGTTGGAGCCTTCCTCGGACTCTCTCTCCTTGGACATTCTTGTAATACCGAGCGGCGAGTATACTCGGAATATGTATCATGTCCATGTTCATAGCAACATGGATGGTCTCGTGGATCATGAAGTGTGTGTGTGTGTGTGTGTGTGTGGAGTTTGTTGGGACCTCGTGAAGGGGATCAACCGACAAGAAAAAAAAAGAAGAAAAACTAGAAGCGTAGTGGCGCCACGGCGCTAATTGACCAGAACGGTGATCACGAGTGTATCATGTTTTTTTTTTTTTTTTTCCTCTTCTTACTTTTCTCTTTCGTATCATTAGCCCGTGTTACAGGACCAGACATGCACGATATATATATGCGGCAGTGCGTGGCAGAGGAAGAATCATGCCACCAGAGAGAATGGGAGGGAGGAAAAAGAAGCCATCACCACTAAATGCTACACTCGACGACCCCGTCAGTCCGCTATTCAGCATGCGACTACGAGAGGTATACATAAGCTGCGTTACAAGTCTGAGAAGCCATCGTGATCATCCACTCAGACTTAGCATGCAGCTAGCAGCCATCATCACGCGCTCTCACGCGGACACTCGCATCTCACGAGCCAACCCGATAGGTCCATTTCGAGACTGTGGCCACCCCTTTTCTACCAGTGAAGACTCGACAGTCGTCGATACCAGTATACAAGTACGACAGAGCTACGAGAGGGAGAGGGAAAGAGAGAGAGTAGTAAAACGCTGCTGTATGACTCCTTCTCCATGTGCCTCGGGTTCCCCATCTTAGTGCGACAGACCAGTCAGAGTGCCACTCACACGCGGCGCAAAACCTCTTTGTTGCAACTCTGCCAACAAAATCTCGAATCCACCAGAGCGACCACCCACGCGCGCACAACATGGCCCATGCATATTCGAGGAATAATGACAACGCAAGAGCAAACTCCGTAAACAAGTAGAAAAGGAAGAAGGGGGGGTTTCCTGTACAAGTACCCATACAACTTGCTCTTAGGTCTCACACACCACTCTCGTCCAACCATCGGTCATAACGCGTTGCGTGGTCGCGGCCACCGCTTTGGAATGGGCCCCCGCGCGTATCCGTTTACTTCATTCCGGTATTAAGTATGTTTGATTTTTTTTTAAATTCTCTTCTTTTCTTGAGAGAGAACAGCGAGAGATGGTCTCGTCCAAAGTCGCGCCCCCCTCCCGGTTCACTGCCGATCATGGCAGATAGTTTTTTCCCCTTGAAAAAAAAAAAAGTTGCTACAGAGAACAGGTGATACTTCTATATATTATATATACATAATTACTCATGGCCATATTACAAGATAATGGTGGACAGTCTCTTGGACAGTAGTCTTATACCCTTCTACTCTGTATGTGTACAGATCAGGTCGTATGAATATCAAACTGCCGCCTCCTCATTCCGATAATTATGGTGAACGTTGTTGATACAATCCTCGTCATCGCGGCCCCTCTCCTACTTCTCCCGGGGCTAAGCAGGAGGAAGGACACAGGGGGCACACACACACACACACAGAGAGAGAGAGAGAGAGAGAGAGAAGGACAGAAGGACAAGCTATCAACCAGGCGAATGACAACATCACGATCCACACACCCTGGAGGGGTGTTGGCTCACAGAGAACCCCTGCCAGCTGTGATGGATGGTCCAGGATGGTCCAGGATGGGGACTAGGATGAGAGGACTGGGATCAAGGGAAAAACTCCACTCCACTCCATCCACTCCCCCCCCCCCCCTATCCCATTTCCAATGTCACCTCTTCTGTCTATCTAGCGAACACTTTTTACTCGTAGAGTCGCAGTATTATTACTACTCGGTAATGGTCGTCAAATACCAAATACCACTACAACTGCTAATACGAGTAGGCGCGCCGAGTAGCCGTGTCCAATTACCTGTATATGCTACCAAGTTGTAGTCCCCTCCCCCCCTCTTGAAAAGAAAGAAGAAGAAGAAGAAGAAAAATCGATGTTTAGTTTTGTTTCACTTTTTTCCTGAATTTGATATAGGAGGAGGGCATGAAAGTTGAGTGTTTGAGATGTGGCATAACCCTTTTTTTCTTTTCTTTTGATTCTCGGGGGGTTGGGGGTTGGGGAGGGGGAGGGGGTGGTCCTCGTATCGTATTAACCTACACCGGGCAATAGCCGTACACTAAAAGTGCTCTTGGGTTAATTACATCGGTATTATCGAATTGAAACTCCCGGTCATGGAGGGCAAAGCAAGATTGGAAATGAAAGTGCGCTTGCTAGAGTATTGCTACGGACGTCGTGGTAGTAGTAGTATGCATAAAATTACCCCTCCCCGATTCGACCCTCTCTCTCTCTCTCAGCTCCGGGGAGTAGGCAAAAGAGTATTACCTGCGACTAGCAATAATGGTCGTAGTACTACTACGCCTACGATTAAAGATGGATGCCCCATTACTCTTGTCAAGAGTACAGAAAGCGGAACAGAGCAAGTTCCCATTCGACGAATATAATAATGCCTCTTTTGTCAAATAGGCGGCTGACAAGGAACGCCTATCCGAGGGATCGTCGTATGGGTAGCCATCCATCGGGACAGAAGTACTCTTGTCATTTCGCGTAAATCCGGTACTTTTTGTTCTCTTCTTTTAGCTTGATCCATTTCTTTCTTTTCTTTCTCTCTTCAAAAGAGGGTCAGATGGCAGGGGGGGGAAAAGAATGGATGGGGGCAAGATCCTCCCTCCCCCTCCCTCCTCCCCCGTCGTCACACAGGATATTCACTTTTACATATATCTACCAAAGATACAACTCCCCTCCATCCATTCCGCCCCCCCCCCCCCCTCCTTTTCACGACTTTGCCTCTCTCACCGACTCGTAGAACAAGTTTGCCGCCGCATTGTCATACAAGCAGGAGACAGGAGCAACGCTTCCTGTCTAGACCGCATAATGATGATGTGCCGGACTCCGCTAGTGTCAATACAGGCTAACAGGTACGAGAAATATATTCGAACCCTATAACTAGACTCGTACTATGATTACTATAATACAACTGTATATTCTCGATCATGTTGAACTGCCGTACAATATTCTCCGACGATCCGCTCCTCATTTCGTTGCTGTTTTGCTTTGTCCATGCGTCCTCGTCCTCCCTCGTACGTGTAACAGTCGCCACGGCAGAGGKGRGGRKGGGGGGGGGCGGGAGGGGACGTGTGTGTGAGAGATCTCTTCTGATCGGGCCAACTGTCTTTCCCCCTTCTTCCTCTTCCTCTTCCTCTTCTTTACGCTTGCGTGTGTGCATAGACCGTGCGCCACCAATCCATGCGGCCCATCTCATCTCTCGACCATCGACCACGGGCCTGTGATGCAGCGAAGCCGAAGCTGCCACTCACTACTACCACAGTACAGTAGTACGTATGCGGGACTACTCGCCAGCTTAACAGCCAGCGGTCAAACCTCATGACATCTCATTATGTGATGGAACTACGTAGTGGCTGCATGTGTACCCGGTTACTGCGTGTTGTAACTGTAGGAAGAGGTTTATGACGATCATGGCCCCGGGGATGAGGGGGAGGTATGATGAGATGAGGGGCACCACCGTCGATTATGGGTGGCGTGATGAATAGACTTTTTTTTTTTCCACTTCCGTCTTCTATCGTTGCCTTTCTCTCTCTCTCTCTCTCTCTCTCTCTGTGCTCTAGCTCTCCTCTTTGGACTGGCGTTATTTTCCTCCTTGTTTCTCTATTCCCTTTATACTGGCAGGAATTACGTGCTGAGGAATATCTGTCATGGGATCTTGGCTGGCATGCCAGACAGAGCCGTTTGTGTCGCGTGGTTGCTGATGGTGCCACACACACACACACACCTCTGCAGATAAAAACCCCTCTTTACGTCCCAGCTAATCCAATGAGGAAAAGTGTGCGCGGCGTGGCGTACGTCACATGTCTGATCTGGACATCACAGCTCTGCGCGCGTGTGTGTGTATTATGTGCAGATGGACGGACAATAAAAGTGGCTGCTGGTTGGTTGGTGGTATATCACGACCATCATGTACCATCGCGAGTTGAGGCTATTTTAGCTACCGAGTAGTAGCAGCAGAGAGAGTGATAGTAGTAGTAATGGTGGTGGTATAATAGTAGTAGCAATAGTAGCAATAGTAGCAATAGTAGCAATAGTAGTGATAGCGATAGTAGTAACAGTAGTACTGATACAGTAATGCTGATACAGTAGACGTGAGAGCATGTCCTGCAGATAAACGTCCAGGACAATGATAGATAGTGCTGGACACTATAAATATGCCATCTACAAAACTTCTTCGTGGGATGAATGGAACAGACATATTCTCGCACGAAGGGATTGAGACTGTTCGACCGTCTAAATATGGTAGCAATATAGAAACACCTGATAATAAACATGACAAAGATTCACTACTATCTGATATACCAATTCCCTTGAAAGTACGCAGCACTTCTGCTCTTTCTGCTTGCTGGTAAACGTGTTAGATATACCTCCTTCTCGCCCAATCGGTTGCACCTGCCTGGCGTACCAGATAACTACTGGCATGCCTCTCGCTTTCCCTTGAGCGCGTTGACTGGATGGAGGTTACTGAAATAGGCTGGAGACCTGCCTCAGCGCGCACCTTGCCGTCCAACAGCGATTCCAAAGTTAGCAGTCGTATACAGTCACCCGTTCGCGTCCCATCTGCATACAATCCTCTTCCTCTTCCCTCTCCTCTTCCTCTTCCCTCTCCTCTTCCTCTTCCCTCTCCTCTTCCTCTTCCCTCTCCTCTCTGCCTGCCCCTTCTCAAGACTCGAACTTGTTTGCATACTTAACTTGCGTTCACGACCATCCCTAGAAACCGGAAGAACAAACACACCCCTAACACCCTTTGTCCTGTTCACCTTTCTTGGACTCATCCACTCCACTAACCCAACCACTCCAAGATGCCTCCCAAGCCTCATCACCCGAAGCCTGGGAAGAAGCATCACCGTCAAGGACCCCAGGCTCGTGGAAACAAGGGCCCTCTCGCTGTCGCCGTCTTCCATCCGAAGGTCACGTCCTTCACCCTCAGCGAGTACCTGGAAAAGTGGCTCGAGATCCACGATGCCATGTCCAACAAGCCTGCTCATGTTGGTGGCTACGTTGGCCCCGCCGGACTCAGGACGCGGCATTTCACTCAGGTGAGAGAGTCATGATGGTTCTCACTCAGGTGCTCTGTCTGACCCGTGCTTCCCCCCTTCTCTTCTCAAAGGATACCTTGCTCTTCTCCTCTCGCGACTACCTAGACCAGACCGAGGAACGTCGCGTCGCATCCGGCAAAACTGCCTGGTCCAGAGGTCTTTCCGGGCTGCTCTCGATTGACGATATTGCCGCTCCCCTGACCGAGGCCTTCTTCAGCAGCGGATTGCAGAGTGTCCGTCAACTTGCAGCCACCTCGACTCATGTATGGGGCATCATAGCAGGCAATGCTGTATGTGACGTCTTCTAGCCGCGTCGCCGTCACAATGCTCACTGCCAATCCAGAAAATTTGGGGCTTCTCCTCTGGGATGCTCGAGTCCGATGTCCGAAGTAACATCTTTCTGGTCGTGAATCCCGAGTACACCGTCGGCGACATGATCGAGGCGAGAGATCAGGATCCCATGGGTCACCGTTCCTGGAACAAGGTCGCCACCTAGTGGGACGCTGCCCTAAGCCACGAGACCGGACTCTACGATGACATCGCCAACGCGAGGGCAGCCATATCGTCCGAAAATAGCATCCTGCAGGACGAGTACGCTCACAAGCTTGGAGATGAGACCATGGAAATGATTGGGTACCTGAACGATGAAGTCAATATTTGGCCCAAGCGTCAGATTATGCGCGGCTCTGGCGAGGAGAAGTTCCAGATTGCTCACGAGATTCTGGCTCAGCGTCTACAAGACATGCGTAGGTGTTCCGTCAAGGCCAGCGGGGGAGCGGGGGCGTATCGGATGCTTACATCTCTCCCGTCATAGTCCGGAATATCTTCGCATTCCACCAGAGCATCAGAGTGCTCCATTTCGACAAGACGCCCTTTCTGGACAGACGCCTTCTCGCCGTCATCCTCCGTGGCTGCCCCAACGTCACTGCCCTCGGCGTCTACGACTGCCCGCTCATCCACTTCGGAGACGTCATCTGCCTCCTGGACCTCATCTGGGATGTGAACAGGATACGGGTCGCACAGAAGAGGTCCACCATCACCTCGTTTGATTTCTTCCCCTGCTTTGAACGTGGCATGCCCTTTGACCATCCCTCAGCCGCCACGTATGGCCTCAGCTGGATTCCTATGACGTGTGAAGTGTCCCAGAGGGGGCTCTACGTCATCATCCTAAAGGCATTCATGAAGGCCCACCAGATGAAGCTTGATTCCCTCTTCGGCGAGCACCAAGCGTTGAGGGAATACCTGCTCCGCGTTCCCAACCTGCCGTTCAGTGTTCCCATGTTCCTCGACGCTCTATACCGACTTGTGAAGCTCCCCAAGACCAGGGGCCGTCCGCACAAGGACGAAGGGGAGATTATATCCGACCTCCTGAAGCCAATACGCCTCGACTTCAGCAGGGGCTTGGCAGATGACTGTCCGGACCTTCACCCTTCCAAGGTGGACCGAGACCGTCTCTTCTGTGTTTCCTGCGGCTACGAGATGCTGCAGGACTTCTTCACGCCGCCTGCGGTCGAAACCGTCCAGTCGGAACGCCTTTGCGCTGGGTGCCTCCTCCAGAGCCGTCTTGATGGGGAACAGCACCGGCAGAAGAAGGCCAAGCGGGAGTGCTTGGATGGCCTGTTCCCAGACCACGACCCCATGCAGTTCAACCAGGACGCCCCGATACCAAAGGGTGGCGCAGCTGCCACTGTCATCCGTCTCAGATCGGCCCGATCTGAGATGCTGAACCCGGCCCTTCCCCTCTGTCTCCCGCATATCCTGAATGACGGCGGTGCGCGGCCGCAGCCGAGGCCACTTGTCCGGAACAAGAAAGCCCATGGAGACTCACTCAGGGGCCTCCCCGATCTCGACAACCTGCTGTCTGCGAATGAGTCCAGGGTAGTACGTTGGATGGACTTTAAGGCCAACTGCCGTCGTGTCGACGCCTTTGCCTGCGCTTCCTGGTTGGCCATAGACCAGAGGTGCGGACAGAGCGACCGGTCTACAATTAAGCGTATCCGGGAGATCATACCGCTAGGTAAGCCTAACCATTGGGAGGAGCTGCAGTTCCGGAAGCACGGATGCTTTACGGAGAGCTACACGTTTCCCGAGGCCCTGCACCGTCATCTGGAGCTGGTCAGCAAGGGCTGGCTGCCCGGCGGCTCCCCCGCCAAGGTTGTTGGCAAGAGTCGTGTGGAGACGTATAACAAGAATAAAGGAAAGAATTTCTGGTAGTTGGACAGGACCGAAGGGGGTTGTCCCGATACTGCCATGTATATATATTATGGTGAGGATGGACAGGAGAGGTTTATTCTGTTTAGTTGAAATTCCTACTTTTCAATTCTCGTCTCCGCGCTCGCTAGAAGCAAGATAGTAAAAGTTTCTCTCTACATTTTTTAGAGAAGAGGTTTTCTTCTTTTTCTTCTCCTCATTCTGAATGAAAATGAATAAGAATAGAGCAATGGATTCAAGTAAAGAGATATATTGTTGAGATGAGAAGAAGTTACAGCGATGTGCAACCGGGTAAGTAAACAGCAGTATAGTCACGTGACAAGGTGGTCCCCTGTCTCGAGAAGCTGGGAAATAATCCCGTAATCTTTTCCCGACATCAACCGCAAGACGACCAGACCCGAGACCCAAGACCCCCGAGCCGACGACTCAACGAACGGAACGAAACGAACGAGGCCCCGCACGCCACGGGATCGGGGAGAAGAATAAGAAAGACGAAGAAGGAGGATAAGGATACGGAAGAGAGCAGTGTCCATCCTCAACAAGAGCAGACGAAGCAATGTCATCATTCATCAGGACACTGTCGCTCCGGGCTCCGGCGATGATGACGACCCGGGCCATGGGCATCTTCAATCGGACGGCGGGTCTGGGCGGTCTCGGCGCTTCCACTGCTCCCGTCCAGGCTGGCTCGATGCAGACGACGACGACGACGTTTGGAGGCGCGGTGATGCAGCAGGTCAGGGGGATGAAGGTTCACAGCTCTGTCAAGAAGCGCTGCGAACATTGCAAGGTGGGTGTTTTATTGGGAGGGGGAGGTTCGACGGGATGGAGGGCTTGGCTTGAACTTGATTGAATGGATCTTGATCCGACTCTGACTGTGAACAGGTTGTTCGACGAAAGGGTGGGAAGAGGCATAATGGGTATCTCTACATCATTTGCAAGTCGAACCCTAGACATAAACAGCGACAGGGTTAGGGATGGTGTGTGCAGGTGGGCAGGGCAGGATGTTGTGAGTGAGTGTGTGTCATTATCATATAGAAGGGGAGGAACTGTACAATGTAATATTACAAGTTGTATCAAGAAATCATCTGGCTCTTTTTTCTTCTTTTTCCTTTTTTTTTTTTTATACAACGCTGAAAAGAATGGATAGATGAGAAAGAAATGAAGAATTGTCCAAAGCCAGTATTATAAACCGCTTATATACTTTTCCATGGTTTCCCATTCTGTCTTACCTGTTGATAGAAGGTAGCGGATGTGTGACTGCGCTCATGTCAGGATGGTCTAGACGATGATGATGATGACGACGAGTAGTAAAACGGGAAGGGGGGAGGGAAGAGAGAACACACGATATCGGAAACAGCCCTGTGTCGCTCAAACTCGTCGCGGGCATATCGAGCCGACTCTGCACGCGTGGTGGCATCGCTGATACGTCTTGTCCCGCGGATGATGGTCCTGTAGAGTGACAGGGCGCGTTGACGTTGGAGGAACTGGCAGGCAGGCAGGACATCAGCATGGAATTTCCTTTTTTTTTCTATTCCGTTCCAATCCTGATGTCTTTTCTTTCTCTCTTCTTTTTGTTTGTTTTTCTCAAAAAAATCATCTTCTTCTCTTTTTCTTCTTCCCCCTTCTGCATGACAGGAAAGAAGAACAAAAACAAACATACGTGGTCAAGGCTCAGAGCGCTGTTGATACGCGTCCTTCGTTGGGTGGCATATCGTCGGAGGAGAGGCATGTGTGTGCGTGTGTGTGCGTGTGCGTGTGTGTTGAAGTCAAGACGAGGTTCAGGACGTAGGTCAGGAATGCAGATCCAGACGTTCCAAAATCAAGAAAGCAGTGTTGTATTCAATACGGTTTATTTCCTTTTCTTCTTTGGAATTGGAAGTACGGATGAAGTGATGTCAGGAAAGAGTAAGAGATGGATGGATTTGAGCGGGGAATTCTCGGCTAATTAATTTTCACTCTGAAAGTACTCGTACATTTTAATATTTTTCTAGACATCATAATTCTGCTTGTCAACGCACATTCTATATTAGGTGTTGAGAGGAGGAGGAGGAGAAGAAGAAGAAGAAAAGACAGCTTTCATTTTCTGGTATTGAAGAGAAAAGGAAAAGAAAAGAAGGAAAAAGAAAACAGAAAATGTCCTTGAGAAAGTCCCAGTCACAGACGCAATCGGCGGAAAAGGTAATCCAGCATGTGAATACCGTGTCGGACGAGATATTTGTAAGGGAGTACCTAGGACAGAGGTGAGAAGATCCGTTGCTTATCCCATTCACCAAATTGGTTTTGGTTTCTTTTCCATTTTTGTTTCTTTTATTTTCCCAATTCTTATTCTTTCTTCCCTTCCCCCGTCCCCCTTCCCCTCGTCTTTGTGTGGTTCGTTTGACCACCGCTAACGTGCGTGACACCAAGTGACGATGAGTGGACACGCTGGACGCACGCCGGGGAGACCTACACCCTGTCACTCACCTCCCCCGGAAACATGAACCCGTCCGACCTGGCAGAGTGCTTCTCTGTAGTCGACGACATGAGCGGGCCGGACTACCGAGCTTCGTCTGTGGGCTGGCATCCCGACGGGAAGATGGAGGAGATGGCCAGTCCAGAGCTGCGGTATATCCTCGTCAGGGCTGCCTGCACGACAGATGCGGTTGCAGGTGCAGAGGCAGGCGAAGAGGCAGAGGCAGCTTCATCGCCAGCAGGCTCGATCCAAGGCTTCACTTCTCTCATGCCTACGTTTGAAGATGGTCTGCCGGTGCTGTACTGCTATGAATTGCAGTTACGGAAGTCATTACAGGGGTGTGTCTTCTCTCTCTCTCTCTCTCTCTCTTCTTCCCTTTCTTCTCCTCCTCTCCAATATACACGAGCAACTGACAAGAAGAAAAAAACAAAAACGAAAGCGCCGGTCTCGGTCGTCGACTGATGAACCTCGTCGTGACAGCCGCGGAGAATATCCCCTCCATACAGAAAGTCATGCTGACGTGCTTCGTCGCCAACGAGGCGGCACGCGCATTCTATCGGAAGATGGGCTTCGACGTCGACGTGTCTTCGCCCCGGGAGAGGAAGTTGCGTAGTGGGAAGAGGAGTACGGCCGAGTATGTGATACTGTCCAGGTCGGTCGTCGCACGCAAGCGTAGTTCTAAAGTCCCAGATTAGCACAAATCTATATATATATATATATATTCATATTCACAGCAACACCAAGATAACACGCAAGACCAAGACAGAACAGGACAGAGACAGCACTTTTGACATGACCGCTGGTGTTTCATGAGTTGTGGCCGCGAGACCTCTTGTATTCTTTACTTGGGCGGTTTTTACCTCCCCGTCATCTCGTGCGTTTTATGTAGACCAATACCGAAAAACAAAGAATACGCCGCCCACGATGTATAGGTGTAAAAGAAACCGAAAAAAAAAACTCCTGTGTCCGTTTCACGTCATTTCCCTAGTCCGTCGATACATCAAAAGACATCCATCATTTCTTATGTTGTTCCGTTTTCTTCGTATCGGGGTTTCGCCCTTTCCCCATGATCCCCATTTTTGTCTTGTCCCTTCTTCCCTTTAGCATTGATCCCAATGTAGTCCCTTGTTCTGTCCCTAAACCGGCCTGCATCCCCTCAGGCGTAGAGCTTCTTCTCGTAAGACTCCATGTTGACGTTACCCTCCATCTGGGCGGAAGAGGTACGCAGCTCGAAGCGGAGGGTGGAGTTGGCCGCGCTCTCATGCAGGAGTTGCAGGCTGGTCATGCCGCAATCCTGAAGGGAGTGCTTGAGACCGGCGGCCAGGTAGGGGACGAACTTGTTGATGGAACTAGAAGGGTCAGATTAGCATACGGGGACAGAGAAGGGGTGGGCGTGAGGGAGATGGAGAGGGTAAGGGCAAGGAGAGGACGGAGGCAGAGAGGATGACATAGAGAGAGAAGAGACGTACCCCCTGTGAGCCACGGCACCCGAGACACCCTGGGCGACCAGGACGCTGTCACCCTCGGAAAAGTAGCGGGCGGTGCCGGCGTTGCTGGCCTGGCTGTCCTTCTTGCCACCGCCGGCCTTCTTGTCCTGCATGGCGTCGATGCTGCCCATGCCGCGGTAGGCCTTGACGAGCTTGCCCTCGCGCGAGACGAAAGAGGTTCCGGGGGACTCGGTGGTGCCGGCCAGCAGACCGCCCATCATGATGGTGGAGGCGCCAAGGGCGAGGCCCTTGACGATGTGACCGACGTTCTGGATGCCACCGTCGGCGATGCAGGGGACGCCGAAGCGGGCGGCGAAGGAGCTGACGCTGTAGACGGCGGCGGCCTGGGGGCGGCCCACGGCCATGACCTCTTGGGTGATGCAGGCCGAGCCGGAGCCCATGCCGATGCGGAGTCCGTCGACGCCGGCGGCGATCAGGGACGCCGCCTGCTCGCGCGTCACCACGTTGCCGCCGATCACGTCGAGGCCGGGGTACTCAGCCTTGATGTACCGGACCATATCGATCTGGTACATGCTGTTGCCCTGGGAGCTGTCGAGGACGACAATGTCGAGCCCGGCATCGACCAGCTTGCGCAGACGCTCCTTGTCCTCGGGGCGGGTGCCGATGGCAGCGGCGCAGATGAGCTGCTTGCTGTCTGGCAGCTTCGACGCCAGCGGAAAGTGCTGGTTCTTTGTCAGGTCGGAGCGGGAGATCATGGACACCAGATTGAAGTCCTTGTCGACGATCGGCAGCTTGCCCTTCCTGGACTGGGCCAGCAGCCGGTTGGCCTCGACCAGCGTGACGCCGTCCGACGCCGTCACGAGGTCCGTCACCATGACCTTGGAGATAGGCACCGACAGGTCATCGACGAACTGGATGTCGCGGTACGTGACGATACCCAGAAGCTTGGAACCGAGCTTGCCGTCCTCTGTTTGTTCAGGTTTCACGTGTCAGCACCTTCTTGTGTCCATTCCAACCCGACCCAACACGAAATGCGTATGAAAGAAAAAAGGAGAAAGTTCAGATCCCAAGTGTGTAATCATAACCAAAGGTAGTCCTCATGAAGTATAGTCTATACAGTGGAACGAAAGTTATATATATAAAAAGTGTTTAATCATGTGAAACACTTGGGATTCATAAAGAGCAACGCACAAAAAGAAGAAAAAAGTCAAGAAAGAAGAAGAAGAAACAGACTCACCAGTAACGGGGAACCCTCCAAATCCCCACTTCTCCTTGAGAGCCCTGGCATCGGCAACCGTGACGTCGCGACCGATGACGACGGGTTCGACGATGAAGCCGTTCTCGTACCTCTTGACCTTGCGCACCATGTCGGCCTGGTCGTCGGGCGAGCAGTTGTGGTGGATGACGCCCAGGCCGCCCTGGAGGGCCATGTGGATGGCCATGTCCTGCTCCGTGACCGTGTCCATGGGTGACGAGACGAAGGGCGTCTTGAGCGTGATGCGCTTCGTCACGGGGGAGTCGAGGGCCACCTCCGACGCGGGGAAGCCAATGTATCCGGGCAGGAGGAGGAAGTCGTTGTACGTCAGGCCGCCGTGCTTGGCGGTATCCATGAGCTCGGGGAGGCCAAGTCCGTCCAAGGACTCGTACTCCTTGAGAGCATCAAGGGCCTTGGTGTGATCCATCACCTTGGCCGCTCCGTTGAATGCAGCCATCTCGATCGGGGGGATGGTAGGTGGGAGGGAGGTTAAGAAGAAAGAGAGGAAAGGGTTTTCGAGGTTGAAGGACTCTTCAAAAAAAGCAGTCGAGAAGTGTCTTGTTCTCTTCCGTTCTTCTGTCTTCGAGAAGAGATGATGATAGATAAAACTATTCGATAATGAAACAACTCGACTGCTAGAATTGTCCTGACGCTTCTTCCCATTCAGAAGAAAGAAAGAAGGAAGAAAAAAAAAGGAAGAGGGGGGACTTGACCGACAAAATATTTCTTTTCTGCCCACCACACTACGCTACCATGTGGGGCCCTTGACTTTTTTTTTTCTTCTTTTCTTTTTCTTGCGGTCGCGGGGCATCGATTATGTCTGAATTTTCTTCTTGTTAGTAAGCAAATTATCATCTTGGCAACTTGAACTGACATGGAACAATCACTGAGTTGTCAACTTCCAAGTAATAGAAGTCAACGTTAGTCTGACACGCATATCATCTGCCAGATCCAGCTGACATGCGAAATTCACGGCAAAACGGCTCAGGTACTATCGACGAGTCGTGATATGTATATTGGTAGATTGAGGTGCAATACGGCAGACGAGTCTGACACCATGACAAGACATTCACTCGTCCGGCGTCCTGTCCATCTCCAGGCTCTCCTTCTCCTTGCTGGGCGTCGTAGCCGTGGCATCCTTGCCCTTCTTCTTCATGAACCTCCAGTTGGACATGCGGCTCTCCTTGCCGTTGCTGCCGGACAAGGACTCCCTCATCGACTCCTTGGACACTGCCGGTCCCAGGGACGGACTGCTCGTGATGCTGTCGTAGCTGCGCCCGTACTGGGCTGTCGGGTCCTCACCTGGGTCGTCCAGGTCGCCGATGCTGGACCGGTGCTCAGCCGAGGCGTTCCTGTCCGAGTTGGTCGTCGCGCTACCGGGACCCTTCTTGAATAGGCCACCGCCAGACTCCTTGCCCAGACGGCTGGACAGGCTAAACTTGCTCGACGAGCTGCCCTTGCGGAGGAGCTTGCGGATCCCGTTGACGCCGTTGGCGCCGCCTTCCGCATCGCGGGGCGTCGAGCTGACGCTCGAAGAGAGCAGCTGCTCCAGGTTGGTCGCGCTCGAGTGGGACGCGTCCGGTGGCAGGGAGTCGTGCGACTCCGACACGGACACCAGAGTGTCTACCGACTGGGCGTCGCGGGACATGCGCGGTTGGTCCGACGGCCAGTCCTCCGATGACCGCCGTAGTGATAGGTCCGCTGCCGAAGCATTGGACGCCGTCGACCTGCCCTTGGGTCTGGACTTGCCGTCCGATGAGCCGTCCCTGTCCTTCCTGAACAGTCCCATAAAGGTCGGGGCGTTGGGGTTCAGGCGCTGGCTGAGCATCGCCTTGGATGCGCCCGACGGCCTGGAGCCGATAACGCCGACCTGGCTCGGTAACGTCTGAGGGTCGTTGAGCTCCGTTTCGTACAGTATCTCATCGTCGGCCGAGGCGAGCGTCGTCGTCAGGGCCGAGGGGGACCCGTGGTTGCTGGGCCGTCGGGATCCGTTGCGAGACCCCCACCAGCCATCGCCCGGCGACCACATGCGGTGTACCGACCCTGCATCGGCACCCGGCGCGTTCCAGATCGACCCGCTGTCCGCGGACGGTTGGAGCAGATCCGAAGAGGCGATGGATGCCGGGCGGGACCCATCCGGGTTGCGATCAAAGAAGTTCCCGGCGGCCGAGCTGGCAAACGGGTTCAGGCGCCGTGGCAGTATCCAGGACCCCCCGAGGGCCTGCGCCAGCGATCCGTCAAGACCGGTCGAGTTACGGTGGCTCTTGAGCGAAAGGGTCATCCTGCGCCTGGTCCCCGTGATGTCGACTTCGTCGGTCCCGCGGGGGAACGACTGGCTCTGGCCTCCCTTGAGCGAGCCGATGGGGAGCCCCTCATCGGCCTCGCCGTCGTCTCCAGGCCTGCCGCCCCTGTTACGCTGGAAGCCCGACAGGAGGCTGGTGAGCCTGTGGCCCGAGGCGGAAGCCGCCGTGCCCGAGTGTTTCATGTTCAGGGAGGCCTGTTCGCTCTTGTCCTGATACTGCGGGAAGGGGAGCTTGTACGACGACGAATGCGGGCTCGAGAACACACTAAAGGAGTGGCCCGACGACGCCGGCGACTGCGGATCATCCTCGCGAGCGGCGACGGACTCGGGCAGCATCGGGGTCCGGACTGGCCGGGTATCGGTCTCATTGTCGATGATGCCAGAAGGCAGGTAAGCCTGGGCCGAAGGGCTCAGGGGCCCCACGGCAGACCTGAGCTCCTCTTCGATATCGTCTCCGTTGTGGAGGAAGAGCAGGGGTGCAAAGGAAGGGGGGATGCGGGTCAGGCCCGGCGGGAGCTGAGGCGGCGATTCCGTCACGGGAAGCTGAGAGTCGAGGGGCGGCATGCGTGCGTCGGCGCTGCTGTTGAGGCTTGGGTGCTTGGGTTGTTGCTGCTGCTGCTGCTGCTGCTGCTGTAGCTGCTGCTGTTGTTGGGCTGATATGGCGCCATGGTCCATGGCGCCAGACGTAGGATCCGGCGGGCCGTAAAAGGCCATGCCGGACTGGTGATGCTGGAGGTTGACCTGCTTGGCGAGGGCGTGGTATCGCTGATCGAGTTGGTGGCTAATCTTGGTCTCCTCGACCAGCTGGTGATGCAGGGCGCTCCGTAGACCCTCCCACTCCCTCCGGGTGCGCTCGTCGCTTTCCTTGACCTGCTCGTCGTCGGCGCCGGGGAGATGCTTCCGGGCCCCCTTCATCTCGTTGAGCTGCTTGCCCTTGTTGCTGAGGTCCGTCTCGAGCTGGTTGTAGTCCTCCTGGAGCTTGGAGAGCTCTGCCTGGAGGTTGCTGACGTCCGAGTCCCTCTTGTGCTCGAGTGATGCCTTCTGGGCCTGGAAGCCGTCGCGCTCCTTCTTCATCCTCTCCATTTCCTGCTCGAGCTTGCTTATGCTGTCGCGAACCTTTGACTTCTTGGCCTCCTTGTCCTTGAGCTGCTGCTCTTTCCTGCTGCGTTCCTTTTCAGCGGCGCGCATAGATTCCATGGTGGACCGGACCTGGCCCTTTAGGCCGGCAGTCAGCTCTTCCTTCTCCTTGAGCGAATGCCTCTTGGATTCCTTATCCCTCTTCAGCTCTTCTTCGATCTGCTTGTACTCGGCCTCATCAGCGGCGAGCAGGGCCACCGTGTCATTGATTTCCTTGCGGATCTCTTGAAAGCGGCGGTTGAGCTCGTCGAGCGACGCCTCGGCATCGTTCGCGGAGGGCTGCTTGGCGGGTTGGTGGTCTGCGCTCGTGACGGAGGGAGAGTGGCGTCGGTTTATCGTGTTTCGCCGCTGGCCCGGCTGGGCGCCGGCGGAATCCCGCCTCGCGGCTTGGCTACCATCAAGAACGGGAGCGGCTTCGACGGCGGCAAATGAGCACGTGGCAGAGCCCTGGAGGGCGTCATCCTCGAGACCCTTCGGCCTAGACTGTTCATCGCCGATGAAGCTGGTAGGCAGGCGAGCGTTGCCGAGATACGGCTTCCCATCCTTGCCAAAGGTCCGGAGGCGGACGGTCTGGCTGGCTGCCTGGAAATTGTTGGGTCCCATGGCCACGACGCGAATGTTGTAGAAGTGGTCTGGCTTTAGACCGGTAACCGTTATGGCAATCTCGTTGCCGGGGGACTCTCCCACTGCCACGTGAAGAGGAAAGGTCAGCATGACACAGGCGAGGTGACGAGGCGCAGGAGGGAAGAGACCAACCGTGTATCCCATTGACCTGGATAAGATATTTCTGGACCGGACGGTTCGGTAGAGGTCGCGTCCAGCTGAGGGTGGCGGCATCGGCTCGGATGCCGGCGAGGCATACATCGGGAGGTTCGGGGACATCGACGCCGAGAATGTTGATGAGTTCGGGGACAGGTTTCCATATCGTCTGCCACGATCGATGGAGGAGCCTGATGATGAGGAAGGTGGTCAGCCGCGGCCTTGAAGGGCAGTTGCAAAGGGACCGGTGGCTCTTCCCCTCTCCCTAATCCTTGATATATCCTTGATACAAGGGGGAAGTAGAGCGAAGGAGAGTGAAAGAGAGAGGGGAGGGGGAGAGGAGGGACAGAGAGAGAGAGAAGAAGAAGAGGAGGAGGAGGAGGAATATGAGAAAGGGACATGGAAAGAAGGAAAGGAAAGGCTCGGACATACCAAACAACGGCTCCCAAAGTCAAGGCCATCCTGAAGTGAGTGGCCAGCAGAACATCTGGCCTCAAATCGTTGAGGACCAGAGATTCAACAGAGTAGATTGTACGGAGCAGACGGCGGTGATCGACGAGGAAGGGAGCGGCGCTGAGGACGGCAGCCAAGGTCGTGAAGAAGCCAAGGCGAGGACCACTGGAGCCGAGCGACCAGAAGCCCAGAACGCTGAGGACGAGAGATGTCAAGAGCGGCAGCTCCCATGACATGTTCTCAGCGTTGAGGCATCCAAAACGGCGGATGTTGGGGCGAGAGGGGAAAGGGGGTCTACGAGGGAGGGAAGGACGAGGTTGAGGTTACAAGGAAGAGAGGAATGGCGAGGGGAAAATATGTATTGGAGTGGATATGGACTGACTGTGAGTCGTTGCATTCGCGTGCAGGTTTGTATTTTTTTTTTTCAATCTTTTCTTTTTGATTTTTTTTCTTCCAAATTTATTGAATATTTCTCTTCTTTTACTGGGCGAGGGATTGGATGGAACTGGGCCTACGGACCACTACGGATTGCAGGCTTAGCGGGCTGGCCTGGCGGTTGGGGGCCCGGGGAGGAGCCTGAATGGGAATTAGGCGGGTTGGCGGCTGGGGTTCTAGTGAAAAAGGGCCCTGAAGCAGCGGGCTGGATCAGCTGCGGCGGCTACCTGGACCGCTATCACCTACAGGCTACAGTGCACGGTGGGTGGGGAGATGCGCCGCGGTCAGAACGTGTCCGTTCCCTGCGGAGGCTCGGGCGGTCCAGGTGAGGATGGGAGTGAGATGAGATACGGCCTCGGGGAATACGGGGTCCATCATCCACGAGGTGACCTGGAGAGGAAGCAGACGCAGGGCTGTCAGCGGAGCCGAGGCGCTGCGTCTGTGCGGTCTGGCGCAGGCGGTGCGGGTGATGGCCGGTGCCGCATCAGGGAAAGAGGCAGCGATCTGTGCAGCGATCTGTACAGGTCATCAGAACAGGTAGGCGCAGGGTTTCTTCGCCTCTCTGCGCTCGTGTCAGGCGAACGGGTGAGGAGGCGTATGGGTGACATGCTACGACCGTGATGATGGTGACAGTACCACAACCGGATGCAGGACCCTCTCAGCTCCAGCTAGGCTCAAGCCGGAGGGGGTAGTACAATCTCGGCAGTGGATTCGAGGCGTGGGGGAGGCAAGATGGAGGAGTGGAGGGGCAATGATTCCGGGCTGTCGGTTCTGGCGAAAAGCCAAGATATCAACGTCCGAGATACGAGTAGGCTGCAGTCGCTGGCGCGGGTGATGGATGTCTGGTCGTCCCGACGGTGTGGACGGGCGTCTTTTCACTCTTACCTTAACGGGGAGCTCTCCTCGTGTAGGGAGAGGCAGAGGATGGATGGCCTGTAGGGATGTCTATAGGGATACCTGCGACGACGACGGTATTGAAGGCCTTGGCATCACGAGCACTCCGTACGGAGTCCAAGTATCAGTCGATTACGTACTGGTTCGCACTTGCCACCAGATAGAGAAGAGGAAGCTTTTACGTGCAGTACGGGGTAACCAGGCCGACTGTTTACGGATCCGGTGCATCCGGTAACCTGTAGTCCGCGGCTTGTGGTTTGCAAGTCTGCAGTCTGCAGTCTGGTAATGTGCGTTATTCAATGGGTTGGATGGGAATGGTTGAGTGATTGGGAGTGGGTTGAGAGTGGTTGGGTGGTTGGGTGGTTGAGTGGTTGAATGTTCAACGGTCAAAGGGAGGGAGGAGGTTGACGGGGACATGCAGAATGAGGGGTTCCCCTCGTGCATGATACACGTACGTCTGTTTGTCGACCAGGATAGTGAGATGGTGAGTGAGCAGTAGACACCGAAGAGTGGGAATGCGTCTCTAACGTGTTGCGATTCATTGCTCGGTAACCTGTACATCTGGTCGGGCCTCTGTAGATGTCGGATGCGATGCTGCTCGTGCTGTCGTCGTTGCTCGTACATGCATGGTAATATATATGTGTATATATATGTATATGTATATATATATGTATATGTACAGAGTATATATAAGGTATATATATTACCTACCTACTCGGCCTACAAAGCCCTATCGATACAAAGCCTATTCATTACTCACGATTACTCGCAACTAATACTCCGTACTGCGTACTGCGTACTCCGCACGCCAATTGCCCTGGCCAAGTCGTTGCCGAGGCTCATCAATGATTCATCATTATACGATATGATGATACTCCTCGTATGCATCCATCCCCATCACCAGATCCGAGGTAGACATTCCATACTGCTAGCACAGATCAGGGGTGTGATACAAGTATTGCAAGACATGGGCTTCGGTGAAAGACTGAAGCCATGAGACTTTTACACGGGTCTCACAATTGTGTGACGAAATTGCGGCCTTCACTGTACGAGTAAGAATAAATGATACTCGCAGTCCAGTCCAATGTCTACTCCGTACTGCGCGTACAGATTAGTAACATCATATTTGCCAGGATAATGCAATATACAGCTGACCAAGATGTTTCAAGAATCTCCTGTTTGTTTCAATAATCTCCTATTCGAGAATCCTCCTGTTCGAAAAAAAAAAAAAAAAGGAGGAATGTCTACCAGCACAGCCTGTCTCTGTCCTCGTCTCTGTCCTCGTCTCTGCCTACCTGCCCCCCTCCCCCCATAGCATCTACGAGCATGAGTAGGGGAGAGGAATGATCACTGGCATCAATCACCAGCTACCCGTAACAATAAGGAAGGGTTAGCCGTACAGTACTGTACAGTGTACATGTAGGATTACACGTACGGATTATACGTATTTTCTGTAATAGCAGTATGAAAACGGGCAGTCACATGCACGTCAGACCTGGTGGTACGTGCCTGCTGCACCTTCCATCGCATCCGCACCCGATCCCACCGTCCCAAGGAGCACGAGTATCTTGTCAGAGACGGATACCTCTGCATAGACCACAGTACATGGCAGTAAGAGAGTACCCCCCCTTCTTGGCAGTACATCTGACAGGTTGCATGGGCCGTCTGGATCATCATCACCATCAATCAAATCACAGGCACCGGGCCTACCGTAGAGACACGGTATGGCCGTGCAATCTGTACAGATTACGTGCATCCGTACTCTACTCTGTACAGATTCACGAGTACACTCCTGTATCTCCTTCCACTTGTAATGACATGTCTCAGACCCCTCGCTATTGCCCGATTATCCACATCTACATCTCCTGCTCTCTTCTTTTTCCGTACTCTTCTCTACCTCTTATCCTCCAGTCAACACCACCGTTGTTTCGACGGAAACCCTCCAAACCTCGGCTCATCCACCAGCCTGCCACTCTAGTGCTATCACTCTACGGATAGCGTGCTGTTATAGACTATAATTATAGACTATAATAGTGGCTTGTGATCTGTACGGAGCGTTGAATGTATCTCATCACTACGAGTATTTCTCCGCAACACATAGTGACTGCACTGCAGTCAGCCAGTGGCCAGACCAGTCCATCAGGCCAGAAACGTCCTCTCCTCTCGCAAACGATTGCCCCACGCACCGTCTGATCGGATCCCAACCCCCCAACCGTCTTCCGGCCTCGTTTTGCGCTTTTGGCCCTTGGTACGGCGGGAGACGTCGCATTATTACGTATTGCACCCGCCCGCCTCAACATTCCCTTCCTTCTTCCATCTGCTTCTCTTCTTCCTCCCACACACACACACACACACACACTCTCTCTCTCTCTCTCTCTCTACAAACCAAATTCAGAAAATCCATCTTTTTTTTTCTTTTTTTCTTTTTTTTTCCTTCTCGATAAGCAGACAACCAATTACACTCTCCGGGCATTATCACTTCACACACACACACACACACGCACACGCACACGCACACGCACACGCACACGCACACACGCACACGCACACACGATATCACGTACTGCAGACGACGGTAAACCGACAAAGGCGCAATCTTGCCTCACGGGCAGCCGCTTCCCACGCCGCCCACCATGCAGTACGTCAGAAACCTGAGCGACTCGGTCTCGACGGCATGGAACTCCATCAACCCCGCCACCCTGAGCGGCGCCATCGATGTCATCGTCGTCGAGCAGGAGGACGGCTCTCTCGCCTGCTCGCCCTTCCACGTCCGATTCGGCAAATTCTCCCTGCTGAGGCCTTCGGACAAGAAAGTCGAGTTCAAGGTCAACGGCGTCAAGCAGGACTACTCGATGAAGCTAGGCGAGGGCGGAGAGGCCTTCTTCGTCTTCGAGACGACCGGAAACATCCCCAGGGACCTCCAGACCTCGCCCCTCGTCTCGCCAGCCAACAGCCCCCCTCTCAGCCCGCAGTCCACCACAGAGTCCAGCTCGGACCTCAGAGAGCCTGATCTCCTCGACCTCGACGCTGCCACGCCCAAACCTGCAATCAGGCCATCGCCTACGGTTCTCCAGTCCTCCGCTGGTCTCGGTACCGTACCCTCCCCTCGTCGTCCTCGCTAACTGGGTTCCCAGGAAGACGGCCATTGTTCGCTGACGTTGCTCCGTACAGGACTCATCACGCCCGCCTCCTCACTCCCCGGCACCTCAAACGGCCGCCCCGCCTCCGGCGACTGGTCCGGCTCGGCAGCGGCCACCATGCCCCGCCCCCAGAGCGACGACGCCCTGCGCTATTCCGCCCGGTCCCTCGGACGCGACGAAGGCAACACGATAGAGGACGGGCTGGATGCGTCGGAGCGGTCCCAGAGCCCACCTCCCCTGCCGCCCAGGGAGGCCATCGAGCGTGCCACCATGCTCTCCAAGGAGCTCTCGACGGCCAACATCCCTACAAAGATCACCGACACGGGCGACCTCATGCTGGACATGACGGGCTTCAAGAGCAGCGAACAGGACATGCTACGCGCCGAGGTCTTTGCGCGCAAGGTATTGGCCGAGGAGCTGGAGGGCAACTACGACATCGGGTCGCTGTTCGGCTTCGACGCCGAGGGCAACCTGTGGATCTACAGCAGCGAGGAGGCGCGCAAGGCCGCCATGAACAAGACCATGGAGTGCTCCTTGCAAGGTCACGGGGTGGCCGACGACGCCGCCTCGGACCCGGGATACCAGAGCGACGGAGGGACCGAGGCACCCCGCCAGGCTGCGCCGTCGTCGTCGGCGGCCGCCATGCCGTCTCCTTCCCACCGCCGCTCCGAGTCCGACGCGGGCCCTGTCGACATGCAGACCCCTCCCCGGACCCCCCGCCACACCGGCGACCCGAACCGCAACTACGCCAAGACCCTCCGGCTGACTAGCGATCAGCTCAAGGAGCTCGGGCTGAAACCCGGTCCCAACTCGATGAGCTTCACCGTCAACAGGGCCACCTGCTCGGCCAACATGTACCTGTGGAAGCACGAGACGCCCGTCGTCATCTCCGACATTGACGGCACCATCACCAAGTCGGACGCCCTCGGCCACGTCCTCAACATGATCGGCCGCGACTGGACGCACGGCGGCGTTGCCAAGCTGTACAGCGATATCGAGGCCAACGGCTACAACATCATGTACCTGACCAGTCGGTCCGTCGGCCAGGCCGACACCACCAGGGCCTACCTCAACAACATCGTCCAGGATGGCTACCGCATGCCCCTGGGCCCCACCATCCTGTCCCCCGACAGGACCATGGCCGCGCTCCGGCGCGAAATCTACCTTCGACAACCACAGGTCTTCAAGATGGCCACGCTCCGTGACATCCGCAACCTGTACGGGAACAAGGGCGGCGGCGGCGGCGGCGGCGGCGGCGCAGAAAACGAGGTTACCACCCCCTTCTACGCCGGCTTCGGCAACCGTCTGACGGACCAGATATCGTACCGTACCGTCGACGTGCCCCGCAACCGCATCTTCACCATAAATTCCAACTCGGAAGTCTCCCTCGACCTGCTGACCCTCAACAAGCTCAAGATGACGTACGTCAACATCAACGAAGTGGTGGACCACTACTTCCCCCCCGTCGGCACTCTCGTGATAGGTGGCGGCGAGGAGTTCACCGACTTCAAGTACTGGCGTGACGATCCCCTCGCACTCGACGACTTCTCCGCCAGCGAGAGCGATGGCGACGACGATGACGACGACGACCAGCCCGACGGAGGAGATGATGACCAAGAGGAAGAGGACGACGAAGCAAGCGTATATGCTGATGATGATGACCGTGAAGACGAGGAAGTAGGAGAGATCATGGAAGATTCCTACATTTCTCGCGATTCGTATGACGAAGAAGATGCTGAAGATGAAGGTGAAGAAGGTTTTGAAGAAGAAGAAGAGGAAGAAGAAGAAGAAGAAGAGGGGGAGGGGGGAGAAGAAGAAGGAGGCCTCCCGACAGAAGTACCCATCCACAAGGACGACAAGATCCTCACTGACGAAGAAGACGATGGCGATGACCGTCCCGTGTCGGAAGACGTACACGCCGAAATCATCACCGGGGTTGGTAATCTATCCATGTAGCCGCTCTCTCTTCTCCCATCTTTTCTGCTCTTGTCAAGGAAAGGAAGCAGCAAAAGAAACCAAAAAAAAAAACCAAGAACAAGAGAAGAAGGAAAAGAAAGAGCAAGGAAACAGAGCTAAGAAAATCATGTCATCAGAACACCGCAGACTCTGAGCCAGATTACGTCGAGGAGCCAGTCGAGATACGACCGCCGTCACCATCGTGGGCTTGACTTGAGTCTTGGATAAATCAGCCCATCCACCATCATACATCATCGTCCGACCTGTCGCCCTTCCCTCAACAGCAACCCGAATATCCCCTTCATTGCCAGCGACGGTAGAAAAGAAAAGAAATCAGCATATATTTTAGAATACCCAAAGTTTCACTTCCTTTCCTCGCTCAACCATTCAGACCTTTCGGCAAAGCGATATCTTAGTCTTTTTTTTTCTCTTGTGTCTTAGGGGGTGGGAGGGGGNGGAAAAGGTCAGTAAACGGCATCATAGCGTGCAAACCATGTTCTCTTTATTGTTCCATCATTCACGACAAGGGTTTTTTTATATATATATCTTTCATTGCTCTGGATTATACATATAGACTTAGCGAGGGGTTCGAAATCCCCTGGTTCAAATTGGTGTCTTTTATATATATATATATATATATATCTTTTGTGCGTGTGTCTGTCTGGACATACAGTTCTTGTACTTTAAACCGTATCACTTTTTGATTCTTCTCGTCTATATATATTTTCCAACCCCCCTCTCGTATCAACACCAACACCGTCAAATTTTTAAGCAACATTGTGATTTCCCCCCCTTCTTTCTCAAAATCCCATTACAGTGCTCCCATGTGCTTCAATCTCAACTCTACTGCACGCCTGTGAGCTTCGAGCTCCTCCACCTTGGCGAGCTGCATGACGGCCTTGCCGACGTTGCGCAGTCCCTCGGCCGTGAGGTTGGAGCTGGTAATGTGTTTCATGAAGGATCCCAGGTTGACGCCAGAGTATTGCTTCGCGAAACCGTAGGTGGCTGTTTTTGTTTTCTTTCGTCAGTCACTGTTTGTAGGGTTCAGGAGAAGGAAGGGATGAGAAGAAGAGGGGGTTCGAGACAGAGAGAGGAAAAGAAGAAGAGGTGAAAGGGAAGAGAGACGAAGGAAAAGAGGAGAGGGGACGAAGGGAAAACATACGGAGAGAGTGATTCACGCCAGCCGAGTAATCACCCACACTCTCGGGGGTCCACTGGCCGACAAAGACGCTACCGGCATTCATGACCTTGTCCACGACGGCCGGTGCGTTGTTGACCTGTAGGATGAGATGCTCTGGGGCGTAGTCGTTGCTGATGCGCATGGCTTCGTCGATGTCGGCGACGCGGACGGTGACGGAGTGGGCGATGGACTTGCGCACCAGGTCGACGCGGGGGAGGGCCACGGCCTGGCGGTGCACCTCGTCGTCTATGGCAGCCATGTGCGCGTCGTCGAGCCCGACGGCGATGAGGACCGATTGGCTGTCGACACCGTGCTCGGCCTGCGAGAGGAGGTCCGACGCGACGAAGACGGGGTTGGCGTCGGCGTCGGCGATGACGAGCACCTCCGAGGGTCCTGCCGGCATATCGATGCTCACACCCGCGTTGGTGTCGTTGCTGACGTGCATCTTGGCCGCCGTCACGAACTGGTTTCCCGGCCCGAGGATCTTGTCTACCTTGCTGATGCTCTCGGTGCCGTAAGCCATGGCCGCCACAGCCTGCGCGCCGCCCGCGAGCACGATGCTCTCGGCCCCGACCTTGTGCGCCACGTACACGATCTCGGGCGTGATGCTCCCGTCCGGCCGGGGCGGCGACGCGAGCACAATCTTCTGGCACCCGGCCACCATGGCGGGGACACCCAGCATCAGAGCCGTGCTCGGGAGGACGGCCGTGCCTCCAGGCACGTACAGACCCACGCGCTCGATGGGGCGAGAGAATCGGCTGCACACCACGCCCGGCATCGTCTCCACCTCAAGGGACTTCTCCTCCTTCTGCGCCGCGTGGAACTTGCGGATGTTCTCGTACGAGATGTCGATGGCCTCGATCGTCTCGGGAGACAGCTGCATCAGCTCTTTGGGGAACGGTGCCTTGAGGACCGGAGACGTCAGGGATGTCGCCTTCTCGAACTGGTGCGTGTACGACAGTACAGCCTTGTCGCCGCCCTCACGGACCCTGTCGATGATGGGCGTGACGATCTTGAGGATGGTGTCGGGCGACTTCTGCGAAGGGCGCTTGAGCGTCTCGCGCAGCTCAGCCTCGGTGGCCTTGGTGGCATCGATCTGCAGCATAGCAACCCTTTGCTCGTCAACGGCAGCGGAGACAGGAGCCGCAGAAGGAGCGGGGGTGGCATCCGTCTTGATACCCTCCTTCTCGGCCCACTTACCCTTGGCGTTGCCGGTTCTCCTCTTGACCTTGAGGCTCTTGGCGTCGAGGTTGGCCTCAATGTCGGCGAGGTTGACGCCAGCGCCAACGGCCTTGGTCAGGGCAAAGTAGATGACGTCTGCGGCCTCGAAAGCGATATTCTCCTGCGTCTTGGCATCGCAGAGCTCCTCGGCCTCCTCCATGATCTTGGCCCGAAGAAGCTTCTCGTCCGAGAAGAGGCGGGCCGTGTACGAGCCCTGCGGGGCCGACGCCTTGCGCGACTTGAGCGTCTGCTCGAGGGCGGCGATACCCTTGAGGTCGCCGAAGCAGCCGAATTGCTTGAGGTGGCAGAAGCGGTTCTTCTGCCTGACGACGAATTTGAGGGTGTCGTTGTCGCAGTCGAGGGCGATACGCAGCAGCTCCTGCGTGTCTCCCGATGTGGCGCCCTTGATCCACAGGCCCCTCTTGCGGCTCTGATAGACGCCGACACGCGTCTTCAGGGCCTCTAGAATACTCTCTTCGCTCGTGTAGGCTAGTCCCAGGGAGACGCCGGCCTCGTCGGTGACAACGGTGGGCAGCAGACCGTCGGGACGGTCCGACTGCCAACTAGAAGCAATCACTTTGGACAGCAGCAGGCGGCCCTCCTTGTCCTCCTTATCCGTGGTTAGGCCTGTCGAGGGCAGGATGGGGATAGCACCAGACTTGCTGGCAACTTCAAGGAACTTGCCGAGAGGCGCAGCGGCGGCAGGCTTGAGATAGACGGTCCTGTTCTCAGCGATCTTCCGAGCAGCAGCGACGAAGGCGTCCACCTCGGCAGCCGAGGGGTCGACGTCACGAACCAAGATACCGTACTCAGAGACCTGCGACAAATCCAGCTTCGACACGACGGGAAGGACCCTCGATCCGAACTCGGCGTAGTCCGGCATGTCTTCGGGGCGCACAAAGACCCTCCATGTGCCCTCGTTTAGGATGGCAGTGACGGCGTCAGGCGAGTCGATAGCGGTAACATCCATGTGGGCGAGGTATTCGTGGTTCGGGCGGCCGAGGAATCGGGACAGGCCACTGTCCTTGAGCTGGGGAGCGGCATCGATGAAGGGGACGCCGGTAATGGCAACCTGCTCGTAAGTGAGACCCTCGACGGTGCCGCTGGCCTGCCCCGCGGGCGTGGCCACGCTGATAAGGAACGGCAGGGGAAGAGTCGTCTCCATAGCGTTCACGCTGAAGTAATAATCGGTAAATCAGCTAGCTAAGTGGACGAAGCCTGATCTGGGCTTCTAGGAGGTGCCGAGAATGGTTGATGTGTAAGGTGGTCAGAGGAAAATATGGTTGACGGCTTGGCTTTTTAGAGTCCTGCATCGGCGCTGCCGCATTTGGTGGGGCAATCGAATGTCAGTCACAGATGCCCCTCCTTCCACAAAATTACAGATCCCACTATATCCAGGCCAACGTTGAGCATTAGTTATACTACGACATGACTGGTCCTGGCCGTAAATTACCCGATTGACGCTTCAATACTTATGAAGATAGTGTTATTGAGTATTCTCCGTAGGGCCACGATGTCTGACGCATCCATTAGAATAGATTTTGCCCGGTATCGGCCACCAAAGTCGTACGAACTTGTAGGGATACTTGAGCCACCTGATGATGCCCTCGAGGTGTCTAGGCACACATCTTCACGCCGACTTTACTGGCCGGTGGCAGATATTGAGTTGTGGGCTTTCCTATACCCGAGGGAAGCAGGTCGTATATTCAATGTATTCATACTCTCGATAATCCCTCTTTTCGCCGGTTCACAATGCGTCCTACGCCGTTGGGATGAGGTGTTAGTCACCTGTCGGATTAACTAATTACCCGAGATGATCGGTCTACTTCCCTCAAGCGCAACCAAGAAGCTTCACACGCGCACGATCATCGACCAGCTACGAGAAGCACCTGAATCATCATCGTTGCGGGCCAGTTTCGAGAGGCTTAGACTGCGAGCTGAGCCATACACGATATACTACGACACTGCAGGTCACGCACGCTGCCCGCGCTGTCTGGTTCCCGCGACGCGCTGATGCGCCCGCGCGACGCTCAACCTTGAGGTATCATCAACAGCGGCCCACAACATACATACACACGATTCCGCTGGCCATGTCATCCAGCCAACCGTCCACCAACGGCGCAGCGGCCCCATCGGCCAACGGCTCGCAGACAGTCCCCAACACGCAGCAATCACAGCCACCGGCACAGGCGCAGACCCCGACGCCGCAGACTGCCGGCCCCTCATCCTCGTCATCAACATCAGGCACGCGCCCTCGCGATGCCCGGCTAGTCGAGCTCCTCCTCGTGTCGCAGGGCGTGACGGCGTATGAGCAGCGTGTGCCCCTCCTCCTCCTCGACTTTGCCTACCAGCACACATCGTCCATCCTCAGCGACGCCATCCACCTCACGGGCGACCCGTACATCACGCAGGCCGGGTCCAAGTCATCGGGCGCCGCGGGCGCCGCCGCGGGCGCACAGTCCGACGTCTCGGTCAGCGCCAACGCCGTCAAGCTGGCCATCGGCGCCCGTCTGGCCTACCAGTTCCGCGGGGGCAGCGCTGGCGGCGGCATTAGCAAGGAGTACATGCAGGAGCTGGCGCGCGAGCGCAACAAGGTGGCCCTGCCGAGGATCGTGCCCAACGAGTGGGGCGTCCGCCTACCCAGCGAGCGCTTCGTCCTCAGCGGCACGAGCTGGGGCCTCAAGGACACGTGGGATGAGGAGGACGGCAGCAGCGAGAGCGGCGGCGGCGGTGACGCCATGGAGGGCATCGAGGCGCCCGACCCCAAGGAGGATGAGGGCGGTGACCCCGTCGAGGGAGGCACCATGGACGATGTCTTTGGTGAGGATGTCGATGAGGAGATGGCCGAGGACGCGTAGGAAGACGTCCTGATACTCTCACAGCCTGATGCGTGTCACCATGAGCTGGGCCCAGAGCGAGGAAAAAATATGGCGTGAGTGAGGAGGCGGAGGACAAAAGGTCGGGAAATCATTCTGACTCGGGCATTTCATCAGAGGGCGTATTTGGTGTTGGGATTTCTATTTTCTTTTTCCTGTCATACAAGACTACTCTTCAAGACATGGGCCAGGTGGGAACAGATACCTTTCAATTTCAATATCAACATTTCGACAATACTCTACATCATCTGATCATCCAAGACAGGAGCGTCAAGGGGAAGCGAAACATGGAAAACATCAAATATCTGGGACAGGACGAGACGAGTATTGGGGGGCAAACCCCCTTTGACACAAACCATACATTCATAATGTTAGGACCTTGGAGAAAGGGGGCACGCATACACACTTTCGACTTCAATAGCGAGGAAGCAACTAATTCACCACAATACAAGACAATCACATCGGATAATAAAATGGGACAGAAAAGCAATTAGAGTAAAGTTATGATACACTAAGCTCGCACGCGGTATCTCATACACTCTATACCCGGCTCTAAGCACGACAACGCACGTGCCCTTTTTTCCAACAGGGAAAGTACAAAGAAGAAACAAGAGCCACCACGGCAGCCGCCACGCCGGAAACAAGAACAAGTTACCCCCTGATAATTTTTTTCGTCTAATTAAAAAAAAGAGGTAGCTTTGCTTAGAACTTGGGCTTCAACTCGTTCCTCAGGCGCTGGTAGTCGAAGAGAGCCTCGATGTTGCCGACGGCGCTGATGGCGAGGTCCTGGTCCCAGATCTTGCGGTTGGCAAAGTCCATGACCTCCTTCTCGGTGATGGCGTCGATCTTGCGCTCAATCTCGGCGGGCTCCATGCGGCGGCCGGTGCTGATGAGCTGGCGGCCGACGTCCTCGGCAACGGCGGTGGTGCCGTCCAGGGACAGGAGGATCGAAGCCTTGAGCTGGGCCTTGGCGCGCTCGACCTCGGCCTCTTTGACGTTAGAGCAAAGGCGGATCCACTCGCGGAGAGCGAAGTGGACGACGTCGTCGACACGGTCAATCTTGTCGGTGGAGAGGTAGATACCCCAGAGACTGTTGGAACGTTAGCAATGCTCGTTGTTTATTTTTGGGGTTCCGCGGAGAAAGGGATAAAGTGGGGGGAGGAGACGTACCCAGTGTCGCTGTAGCTGGTAGAGAAGCTCATGAAGCTGTTGGCAATGTCATACTTGTGAACAATGCCGCTGAGCTTGCTGCCCTGGTGGGGAGCGTTGCCCATGGCCTTGTCGTAGTTGCCGACAATGGCCTGGGTGACGAGGGCGGTGAAGTAATCCTCGGAGTCCCAGCTGACACCCTCGACAGCCAGGGCGATGTTGGCAGTGCCCATGGTGTCGTCACGAACGCGAACATCAGAGCCGATGAAGTCGGTCTGCTTCTTGGAGAGGATAGAAGCCTGGGTCTCAGGGCCGTTGGTGGGGAGGCCGGCGAAGTGCTTCTCGGCAAGGTCGACGAGCTTCTCGTGGGGAACACCGCCGGAGTTCACGAGGACCATGCGCTCAGCAGTGTAGTTGTTCTTGATGTAGTTAACAAGCTCGGTGCGGGTGATGTCGCGGATGTTCTGGCGGGGGCCCAGGATGGTGCGGCCCAGGGCCTGGTGCTGGAAGGCAGTGGCGTGGAGGTGATCAAAGACAACCTCCTCGACCTGCTTCTCAACCTCCTCGGACTCGCGGAGGATGACGTCGCGCTCGCGCTCGATGGCGGAAGCCTCGAGCTTGGAGTTCTGCAGAATGTCGGAGAGAATGTCGACAAACTGGGGGACGTCGGAGTTGAAGGCCTTTGCAAAGAAGACGGTGTTCTCGCGCTGCAGACGGAGAAAAAAGTAAGCGAATATCCGAAGTATTCTTTCTCTCTTTTTTTTTTTTTGCTCTTGCTTGGCCGGGGGTGGGCCAAGGGGAGGGGGGAAGGGGCAAAAAAAACTTACCGAAGTGTAGGCGTTGAGGTGGCCGCCTAGGTTCTCAACCTCGAGCTCCAGCTGGTGCTGAGTACGCTTTCCAGTGCCCTTTCAGATGAAGAGTGTCAGCATTTAGGTGAATCAAAGATCAATGGCGATGAAAATCGTACCTTGAAGGCCAGGTGCTCGAGAAAGTGTGCGGTACCGCTAGTCTCGTCGGTCTCAGCACGGGAACCGGCGTCGACCCAGACGCCGACAGTCGAGGTCTGCGCCCATGGCGAGTAGTTCGTAGCGACCTGATTAAGGAGATGTCAGTACAAAGAAGAGAGTCGCTGTGAACGTGGTGAGGCCAATTGGCCCTGCTCGCGTTGTCGGGTCGGGCCGGGGGAATAGGGAGGATCGCAGGCTTACCGTGAGACCGTTCTTCAGGGTGGTCGTCTGGGTCTTGTTGTTGAAGGCGGGCGTCGCAAAGCCACGCTTCCAGAGTCCAGTAGCAGACAGACCAGCACGGGGCCGCAGACCCCTCGAGAGGTTCAAAGCTAGTCTCCGTGACGCCATGGCGGAGTGTTGAAGAGGTTTGACGAGAGTTTGAGTTGTTTGATGAAATCTTTCCACTTGGCCCGGGTCCGAAAGCTTTCCTGCGGTAATTTGCAGCCTGAGGGCTGAGGCTAGAAAGCTTAGTCATTCCGGGTGGCTCCGACTTCGACCCTAAAAAAATTAAGGGCGACCAATCCATCGTCTTACATTCAAAATCCTTGCAAGAAGAAGACGATGTAATTGTTATTCCCAGAATTGAAGAGATTTCTCAACTGGTTTTCTATGATTACATTTTCTTAATCGTCTTTTCACGTCTGTTTTGCTGACATGACTTCTCCATTAAGCGTTTTCTTCCTTTCCTCCCCTGTATTCTATATATTTTTTTTCCTCGGCCGGTATGTACAGGGGCTTCCCTGCAGCGGCTCTACGGATCCAATCAGCGGTGGGCATTAGTAACGGACCGGTGACCCGAAACGTCGAATCACCATCGTTACATGGTCAGCCGCTCAATCAACGTCGAATGCATCAACAAATTGTCGCTACTTCTTGTGTCGACGTCGTTTTATCAGGGCGACGCCTTCATTTCCGTACCAGCCAACCGTGACACAAGTGCCGCATCGACCTTCATACTTTCCTCGGAGACTTACGAGGGTATTATCACGTCGTAATACCCGTAATGGCCCCTGAGTCGCCGGTCGGGCCTGTGTCCCGCACCATGCCTCTCGTCCAGACATATCCACCCTTGGGTCAGGTGACGCCCCTTGAAAGTGGACGCGTCGACTTGATAGCTACCGTTGAATCTGAGGAAAACGTGCCCTGGGATGTCATTCTATGGAGCTCGATAGATGGCGCAGCATGGACTGGGTCTCAGCTGTTCCCAGCGGATGCCAAGTCTGAGCCGCAGTGCTTGCAGTCCCATGCCGCATCTATCACTCGTAAGCAGTACTATACCGTTTCCCTGACTTTCAAGGAGTCTGTTCAGTTCACGCTCAAGTATCGCAGTGGTCCAGAGACGGACTGGTCCTGGGCCCGCGATGAGCAAGGCATAGCTGATGGGACCATGGTTGTCCGGGCCATTGAACCTCTGTCTGTCCATTTGCGTGACCTGGTCGACCTGTCTCCTGGGTGGGACGTGGCCGGGTGTCTAAGTCAGACTCCAAGGACTCTCCTGTGGTCTCTTCAAGCCAGTATTTCCTCTACGGGTCTCCGCACGTACGACGATGCCGACCGAGGTTCGGTGCGCGATATATGCATCGGGACTCTCAAGACTCCTTTTCTGAGGTAAAATCGTTTCTTCTCGTATATTCCCGGGACGAGACGGTGTATGATCCGTATGCACATGTACATCTTATCATGACTGACGCGTAATGCAGATGGTTCGCCCTTGTACGCAACTCATCTCCCTGGCTGGCACCTCGGCAGGGCAAAGAACACCTTTATTTAGACCATGATGCCATCATATGTGCCTTTCTGACACTGTCTGGACGATACCTCGTCTTCTTAACCCTAGCCGGCGTTGACAATGTCGTTTCCGTGCTGCGAAGCACTCAAGAGGGACGGCTTTCTGTTCATGTAGGATCATATTGCCACCCAGACTACATGCGAAGCTGACCCCTCGCATGGCCTAGGCGCGTTACGACGGTGTTGGTGGCAACGATGGCCAGGCAACAGTCTTGGTTGCTGAAGGTGATGACCTCGGGTGTACGATCAGCGCCACCATGTACCACGCCCGGGACTTGGCCATCAACACGAGCGAAGGCATCCGCGAGGAACCCAATCCAAGCTATCCTCCTGATAGAGCGCAGCCTGGTCCACAATCATCTGAGCCTTGGTACGACGGGCTCGGCTACTGTGAGGAACCTGAGTCTATCCTTTCCTCCGCTCCTCATCTCTGATCCCAAATCGCCGTAGGCACATGGAATTCCCTTGGTCAGGAGCTGACAGAGGGCAAGATCCTCCACGCTCTCGAGGAACTATCAAAGAACAATATAGATGTGTCGACCTTGATAATTGACGACAACTGGCAGAACATTGACCATCGCGGCAACAGTCAGTTTGACCATGGGTGGCTCGATTTTGAGGCCGACACCCAATCTTTCCCTCGCGGCCTTAAGGCGACCGTCACTTCTATCCGACAGCGCTACCCCAACATCCAGAATATTGCTGTCTGGCACGCTCTTCTAGGCTACTGGGGCGGCATCTCCGCAGACGGACCCCTTGCCGAAAGATACAAGACGGTTGAGCTCTCACGCCAAGATCCTACTCTCCCAATCAACGGGAGGATGAGTGTAGTCGATGCCGTTGATGCGCCAAGGCTATACGACGACTTTTACCAGTTTCTCGTTGACTGTGGCGTCGACTCCGTAAAGACGGACGCCCAGTTCATGGTCGACACATGGACCGATCCCGCGGCTCGCCAAGAGCTCCTCTACACCTACCTAGATGCCTGGAGCAACGCGGCCTTGCGGCACTTCAGCATGAGGACGATATCGTGCATGTCTCTGTTCCCCCAGTGGATATTCCACATGCAGTCCAGCCCCCGGAAGCCGACGTTTCCCCTCCGCAGCTCCGACGACTTCACCCCGGGTGAGCCATCTGCACACCCGTGGCATGTGTGGACCAACGCACATAACTGCATAGTCCTGCAGTGCCTCAACGTCATCCCCGACTGGGACATGTTCCAGACGGGTCACGAGTTTGGGGGCTTCCACGCAGCAGCGCGTTGCATCAGCGGCGGCCCGGTCTACATAACCGATGTTCCTGGGAAGCACGACACGGATATCATATCCCAGATTACGGGGAGAAGTCCCAGTGGAAACACTACGATCCTACGGCCGAGCGTGATCGGAAAAGCCGTGAGCCCGTTTGTCGGATATGATGACAATGCATTCCTGAAAGTCGGGAGCTACAATGGTAGGCGTCATGCTCCGTACATCTATGCAAGGACGAGGCCCGGCAGCTGACTGCAACAGGTGCTTCGGAGACAGGGACATCAATCCTCGGCGTCTTCAACGTCTCGGGGCGTCCACTGACCGAACTTGTTCCTCTCTCCGACTTTCCCGGAACGGTCAGCTTGGCTCGGTACGTCGTGAGGGCGCATACCACTGATGCGGTGTCTGCCCCAACATCTCTCTCGTCCCCGAGGTCACTCTTCAACATCACTCTCGGCACGCGAGGGTTCGAGATCCTCTGCGCGTATCCCCTGCAGCATATGCCTTCCACCAGAGGGCCGGGGACGGTGTCGGTTGCCAACCTCGGCCTGGTCGACAAGATGACGGGATGCGCTGCCATTACGAGCGGCACTACGCACAAGCAGGACAATGGGCGTATACGCATCACCACCCGTCTCAAGGCATTGGGGGTTCTCGGTGAGTACTGTTCCGATTTCAGCATGTAAAGTACTATGTTATTCTGCGCGTGCTGACCAGGTCTAGGCATCTACATCTCGTGCCTTCCCGACTTAGATATCCCGCGTGATTTCATGATTACCATTTTGAAGAATCCGATCCCTTTCGAGACCGTCACAGTGTCCGCAGCGAATCCGCATGTCTTGAAGGTGGACCTCGAACGTGCCTGGGGAGATATGGAGATGAGCAAGAAGGGAGGGAGGGAGGTGGACGTGATGGTCCACTTCTCTGTCCGATGATCTACAGGCGTTTTCGGGAGTACAGGATGGTTTGGATGGTTTACGATGAAGATGCATGGAGGCAATGATATGAGCGTGGTTGTGGTTGTGGTCGGGCCCGAAATCTGAACGAGCTGTATACAGACAGTCAAAACTGCCAGGAGGCATGTCATGCTTGATTGTTCCTCAAGGGAAACATCTCATCTGCACATGTCTGCGATCAGTATTGATCGAAATCCATTTCCTTTGAGCCCAACCTTTAACAGCCGCGCATATGATGCTATACCAATTGGCCCTCATGACATGACATTCCTCTAGGGTATCACTACTAATATATTCACGGAGAAGTGTGGATACGTACCTCGTTTTGTGCAAACAGCGATGATTCCGAAGTACTATCATGGCTAGGCTCAGAGGCCAATTCAGGGGATCAATTAGATCGAGAATTTCAAGACGAGAAAGGAAAAAAAAAAGAAACGGATATATCGAGATTGGATGATATGAATGAGCCATTGAGCTATCCGATAACGACTACTGATTTTTTTTTCTAAACATGGCGCTCTTACACGAACCTCGTCAAATACCGATACCCCAGAAATAGACCGGCAATAATACACCAATCTTATCTAATCTACTCCTGTCTGTCTCCTGCCACGCCATCATCCCCGTCCTCATACCTTCCGCCCGCCTCGAAACAACAAACCGGTGCTGGCGAGACAGCGGGCAGCTGTCTTTTCTTTTCTTTCCTTTTTCAAATATTCTTCTTTCATCTTCCGTCTTCATGTACCAGAATATGAGTTCCAAGCTGGGGGGACCGGCATCGTTGGATGCGGGTGAGTTGCTAATGCGGCTTAGAGGAGCTCGCTATCCTCTGTTCACGTCTCCTTAACGCTGACAGTGTGGATGCATGTACCCAGTCGACTACGATCCCGTGAGCCACCTGAACGAACTCTTCGCGCACCCGACGACGCTGTCATCGATCAGCCAGGTGTCTCAGACACTCGGAAAGCGGCAGAATGAGCTGCTGAGCGAGATTGACGGGTTGGAGCAGCGACAGGCGTACCAGCCCAACTCGAGTCTGGAGCGGATGCAGTCGGCGCAGGCGGAGCTAGCGCAGCTATTCCGCAAGATCGAGGCTGTGCGATCACGAGCGGCCGAGACGGAACAGAACATAACATCGATGACGGCGGACATCAAGAGGCTGGACGGGACGAAGCGCAACCTGACGCTCAGCATGACGGCGCTGAAGCGGCTGCAGATGCTGACGACGGCGTACGACCAGCTGCGCGGGCTGGCCAAGACGCGGCAGTACCGGGAGTGCGCAGGGCTCCTGCAGGCCGTGATACAGCTCATGAAGCACTTCAACAGCTACCGGAGCATCGAGAACATTGCGGCGCTGAGCCGCGGGGTGGCCGAGCTCCAGAGGGAGCTGCTGGAGCAGGTGTGCGAGGACTTCGAGATGGCCTTTGCCAAGAGCGAGGTCGGCGCCAAGAGGGGCGTGCTGGCCGAGGGCTGTCTGGTCGTGGACTCGCTGGGCGACGCGGCCAGGTCGCGCCTGCTGACGTGGTACGTCAACACCGAGCTCCGTGAGTACCGGCAGGTGTTCAGGGGCAACGACGAGGCAGGCAACCTGGACAACATCGGGCGGCGGTACGCGTGGTTCAAGCGCATGATGAAGACGCACGACGACGAGCACGCCGCCATATTCCCCGCGCACTGGCGGGTCAACGAGACGCTGGCGGCCGCGTTCTGCGACGGTACGCGCGACGACTTCAAGGTCATCCTGGAGCGTAGCATGCGGCGCGGCAGCGAGGGCCCGAAGCTCGACGTCAACCTCCTGCTCAGCTGCCTGCAGGAGACGCTCGATTTTGAGCAGAGCCTGGAGAAGCGCTTCGCCGGGGAGCCGCGCGCCAGCATCGACACGCTCAGCTCGACCGACGACAGGCCGCATACCTTCAACGGCACCGTCTCGGTCGCCTTTGAGCCCTACCTGAGCCTGTGGGTCGAGGCCCAGGACAGGCAGCTGGCGGGCATGATGCCGCGGTACCGCAACCAACCCCTCGTTCCCGACGACGAGGAATTCTCCCCGCAGGCCGTCATCCCCTCGGCCATCGAGCTCTTCCACTTCTACAAGCTCACGCTGTCCCAGTGCGCCAAGCTGTCTACGAGCGACCGGCTGCTCGAGCTGTGCAGGGTCTTTGCCAAGTATCTGGACGAGTACGCGCAGCAGGTTCTTCTGCGCATCCTGCAGAGGGGTGGCGGCGGCGCCCCCGTGCAGAATGTGGTGCTGGTCCTCAACACGGCCGACTTTTGGCACCTGAACACGAACCAGCTCGAGGAGAGCATCAAGAAGAGGATCGACGCGGATCTCGCGACCAAGGTCGATCTCTCCTCTCAGTCTGACTCGTTCCTGGGCGTCGCCCGCGCCGCCGTCCTCGCCCTCGTCCACATTGTCGAGGTCGACTGCGAGGGGGTCTGGCGCGAGATGAGGAACACCAACTGGAGCACCATGGACAGCGCGGGCGATCAGAGCACGTACGTGGGGGAGCTGGCAAAGCACGTCGACGACAGAACGCGCGAGATCCTCGCCATCATCGCCAAGCAGCAGTACGCCAGGGCCTTTTGCGACAACCTTGTCGACCACCTGGCCTCGACCTACATCGGGAGCATTGTTCAGTGCCGTCCCATCTCGGAGACGGGTGCTCAGCAGGTACGTATGCAACGCACAGAGATTTTCTAAAACTGACAGACTC